AATATGAGCTGTGAAACCATTGACATTTCATTCACATCATAAACTTGGTATAAACAAATGTCTTAAGACTGTGAAGCGTTCACAGTTATATGATGGGGATTTGAAGCTCCTAGTCCTTGATACGACACAACCCTAGAATCAAATAAAAACTATTAATTAGTTATTTCTTGAATTCCTACTCCACTACAGACTGACTCGTCCAAAGTAATTCATGCAAAATACGTGACGAAAAGTGAACGAGCAATCGAAGCTAAATCAAAAATTTATCGCACTCATATCTCCTTTATGCCACATTAATTAGTCACATTTCCCTCATAAGTCGGACGATGCTTGTATATGTTTGTTCTACAGATTACTGAGGAATTTCTATTAACGAAATCCGAAATCTCTGATGAATAGCACTGTTTGCAAATAGGAGACTTATAGGTACATTCTGTTACCTGCTGTTTGATTAACTTATTGAATGTGATACTGGTAACTAAGTTTAACTGTTTGTTTCACGTCTGATTTTTTTTGTTTTTCAGAATTGTATGAAGCTATTTAGATCCTCAAAGCTTTGTGACAATGTTTACGTCGGTGTACAACTTATGGAATTTGTGATTATGGAAGATCATGTGGAAAATCAGTTTACAAGTTTATGATAACTGTGTTCTATATTGCCTACTGACATTTTCATTCACTTAGTGAATTATTTAAATGTAAATATACCAACTATACTCAGTGTTTTACATTAGAAATCCTGTAGGTATGTACAGAATAGTCTATATGATGCCAGACTAAATATTGATGCAGAATAATATGAATTTATTATAATTCATGGAATGAACAAGTAATCTAAGATGGGTTACGTAATCATTCATTTTATTTTTTCATATTTAGTTACCGATTCCTTAAACCACCTTGTCACTCACACTCGCCCACTTCCCTTCATTATGTCAGTTCAAATTCTATTTAATTATTACGTCCCACTTATCAGTTTTTAAATGCACTGATCCTTTATTACCTATAAAATTTTCACACCACTTATCTCTCTGTGAACTCCACTGGATTATTACACCACCCAACCTTGATTCTAAAAACAAATAACCTCTGACGTGTTACTGCATATATACATATGCATATAGTTATTGTTGGTAACCTACGTTATTCCAATTCTTTACATTCAGTTATGTCAATTGTTTCATACATCAATGTTAAATCCTATTACGTATTTGGTTGTAAGCAGCTGACGAGAAACCCCAAAATATAATTAATTCATATTATTCTGCATCAATATTTCTTCTGGTTTTATTTACATTCATAAGCAGAACTAATCACATGAAATTACATTCTACTTAGTTATGGATACTAATTTGATAATAAACGTAATCCGACGACGGTAAATATGTCATGTGGGTGCCTAATCTGTAAGACTTTACGTGGAAGTAGCGTCACTTATTCCTTTTTAATTCTTACAGACACTCGTGAACATTATTGGCACTCATCTCCATGAAAGTAGGAATAAGAGGAAAATAACAATTATGCAAAAGTTTATTGAATCATCATTAATACTGAAGCGGAAAAACAAGTTTACTAGTTGTTATTGATAATTGTTTAATAATAACTGTTGACTTTGTTTCTCAACTTCCGTCGCGAAACTTTCACCATATTTATCAATGATGTGATGCCTGTAAATTCTTTGGCGTCGTAGAATCCTTATATACTCATCATTCCGTCTCGGTAATACAATATTTGTGTTATTTTGGAAGTTCTGCATAATATGTAGCCTCCATCTCCTGTAATGCCTAAGAAGTTGATGAGCTATACAGTTTATATTTTATAATTAATTAAGCTTACCTGTAATAGTTCGTCTTTTAACATATGCCAGTAGCATGTGGTGGCAAGGATATCAACACGTAACAAGTATTCTACAATTGCACTCACAAGTGCTTACATCCACTTTCTAATGCTGTCCGCAGTCGCTGTTTTCATCTTGTAGGATTTGATGACATACCCTTGCTCCTGAAGTCTTACACGGAACTTTGATTGGCAATTAAGGAATTTAAACCTTAAACGATAGATATTGGTTAAAGTTCTCACGATTTTTGATTCACTTTCAAACCTTCCGAATTGCGCTTATGACCGAATGTACAGTGAAACGTAGCAAACATGTATTTGAACCTGGCATCCTTCAGCAACTTACTTTCTATGTGGATGTAATGAATATACTTAGTATGAGAAGGGATAAAATTACTCTTCAATACCATTTTAGAACTTTTTTATCGCGATCCCAAAGTCATCCCAGCATGCGAAACGTTTGTTCAGTATCATACTTTGAAAGGCATCGCTAAGGTCGACTGAAATGTCACTTGAGCATGAAGCACTACAAACAGAAGTCATTAATTATAAAAAAGTTATTCTTTGAAACAATAATAACCTAAGGAATTACTACAAATACTCAAGATTTACCGGTGACTTGACATTTCTTTGAGGTTTCTACAGCAGTTGGGATCACAGATCAATTTACGAAGCAATAACAGAGCCAACGTGTACACTACAAAACACAAAACACTAAATTAATGCTTTTGGTAGTTATTTTGTGCTTTTTAATGCAGCAAAACATGACATATATCAAAAAACTTGATACGCATGCAACCGAACAAACCGACGGCTATTGAAATACGGAATGACCGCCTCTTGTCAGGCCGTTCAAGGTCGTTGAAACGAAAGGGCGGGCAGATTCGAACGGCTTTAACGTTTTAACGGTGCCCTGCAATTATCACGACGCGAAAGTAAGAACACAAAGACTGGTATAACTGGATATTTATTAACCCCCAAAACATGACGACGATGACGATCCTAATCAAAAATACACTCATTTATATATTGATTGTACACACAGATTAATAATTAGGATGAAATTATGTATATAAAAAAATGCTCAGCATAGTTCATATCAATTTTTAATACAAGAATATCGTATGTTATATAGAAGAAAATGTCATACGGGAAACGAAACCGAATACTACACTGAATCATTATCATCATCACATGGAATGAAAAGTGAATTAATGTTGAACAAAACTCATAATGTGTAAATCAATCGACTTTTGTCTTTTCTTTCCATCATATGAATCTTCGTGTTTGATATATAACAAGAAGACTTTTATGTTGATTATTCCTACTAGAAAGATAATCGATTAGATATGTCACAAGTTGAAATCATGAGTCAGTTGAAGCTAGACCACCATTGAAAACCTGGAGGCACTGGACGGCCGTTTCGTCCTGATATGGGACTCCTCAGCAGTGCGCATCCACGATCCCGCACCACGCGGGGCTCGAACCCAGGACCTACTGGCTTCGCGCGCGAGCACTTAACCACTAGACCACTGAGCCGGCATCCAACTGACTCATGATTTCAACTTGTGAAATTTCTAAAACTCTCCACAAAACCCATTCTGATTATATCATCTAAAATGAACAGATTTATTTTAACTAGTTAACAAAGATTACATTCAATATTCAGATGATTTCATTATTGCCTTCATAATATTGTGTGCATTTAATTCCTATCTCCATTAAACTTATACTTTCCCTTTTACATTCCAATCATTAGTATTTATAAACGGACATGCTCTACACTGAATGACTGTTTATTCAATAATTAAATCTGAGTTATTTTAATCGGTTCAAATCAGAAGTGATAATGGACATTTTCAACGTAAACTCATCAAAGTCGACGAGATCGGAGTATACAGACTTGCAGTTTATGAAACGAAATGTAATCGAATATTTGAACTTAGAGTTAACGATTACTTTAAATATACCGTCATTTAATTACCTGTATGGGTGTGTACCCCTAAAATGTTGAATATTAATCATTCGGTTAACTTTGGCACAGTGTTAGTGATTAGTAAACAATATATGGAAATGGACTATGGAAACATCAGAAACTAGATGGCATGTAATATTCAAGTACCATGCTTGTCTAGGTTTATATGAAATGGATTTTGATTATCGTCATTTGTACGAGACTTGACCTTTTATTCAGTAAAATCCTTTGTTTTAGTTGTCGGTAAACTGAAAAACCTATAAACTTCATATGACAGACTACACGAGTTTTCGATAGCATCGATGATTTATAAATATCAAGTTCAGATGATTTGTTCACCGTTTCACCGTATTTTTCTCAATATCAAGAAGCTTTTAAAACTCTGATTGTAGTTTGCGAAACTAACTGTGGTAGGTTTCCGAGTTTAAGATACGTAAAAGTATAGCTTCACCTATTCAGATGTATTTCCAATCTCAGGATGATAAGCTCACCTAGCTATTCAATGAACGTCAACAGAATGAGTATTCTCTTACAAATTTAGCATTACCAATTACTTTAACAAATTTTAAAAGTATGATGAGAAGACATAGGTGATCCCAAAATCCAGTTTTACTTGTGTAATACACTTCGAATGATCTCGTCACGAATGTAACATTATGCATGAAATTTGTGAAGTTAAATAAATACACTATAGAAGTTAGAAATTTGAAGGAAAAGAAGGAATTATTATGGAAAGCACAAGAATTTGTTACATTACAATATACATTGAAATTCATTAAAGTTAACCAAATCAGTGTCGTTGATAAACAAAGTAATATATGTCAAGTCACTGTTGTTAGTAATGGGTTTTTAATTCTAATCAACTCTCTTTGATACTTAGGGAACTTCGTTAACATCAATCTATATCAAGATTATATAATTAGGCTTACATAATACAATAATTTTCCCAACAAAAACTAACTCCTCATAATAATAACTATAACCCTCACTCTTACTTTTACCATGACATCGACCCCACTCTCTTACAACATAACTGAACTATATGAAGGTATAACTCCGCCTGGAGTCCCTCTAGGGGCTACTGCCGGTCCCAAGCCCGGATAAAGGAGGAGGGTTGGGCATGGGGTTAGCGTCCCCATCCCGTAGAAAAATAACTCGCTAAAAAAACGCTAACCAGAAAAAATTATTCAAACCTTTTAAACTCTGCCCTGGGAGTCAGAAGATCTTCATTTAGAAGAATTATGACGCCTCATGATGAAAGCCGAATCCCTTCGGAAGTTATGAGGCCGATGCCCCTTCTGACAACCAGAGCGACCATTTATTTAGGTACATGGAATGTTCGTACAATGTGGGACACCGGGAGAGCCTTCCAGATTGCTGCAGAAATGAGAAGATACAACCTAGAGGTACTTGGGATCAGTGAAACACATTGGACACAAGTTGGACAACAACGACTAACTACAGGAGAGCTCCTGTTATACTCCGGCCACGAAGAAGAAAATGCACCACATACACAAGGAGTTGCATTGATGCTGTCCAAACAAGCACAAAATGCACTTATAGGATGGGAATCTCATGGACCAAGGATCATCAAAGCCTCCTTCAAAACAAAGAAAGGGGGCATTTCAATGAACATCATTCAATGCTATGCGCCTACCAACGACTACAATGAAGACGCGAAAGATCAATTCTGCAATAGGCTGCAGTCAATCGTCGAGAAGTGCCCAACAAAGGACCTGACCATTCTGATGGGAGATTTCAACGCCAAGGTTGGAACGGACAACACTGGATATGAAGACATCATGGGACGACACGGACTGGGAGAAAGAAACGAAAATGGTGAGAGATTTGCAAATCTATGTGCCTTCAATAAGCTGGTCATAGGCGGCACCATATTCCCACATAAACGCATACACAAAACCACATGGACTTCACCGGATCACTCTACACAAAACCAAATCGACCATATTTGCATCAACAAAACGTTCAGGAGGACTATAGAGGACGTGAGAACCAAGAGAGGAGCTGATATAGCATCAGATCATCACTTACTGGTCGCCAAGATGAAATTGAAACTCAAGAAGCACTGGACAACGAGGCGGACAATATCACAAAAGTTCAATACGGCCTTTCTCCAGGATACTAATAAACTCAACGAATTCAAGATAGTCCTCAGCAACAAGTTCCAGGCCTTTCATGATCTACTCAATGGAGAAGGAACTACTGTGGAGAGCAACTGGAAGGGGATCAAAAAGGCAATCACTTCAACATGTCATGAGGTCCTGGGTCACAAGAAGCACCACCACAAGGAATGGATCACTGTTGATACACTGGATAAGATTCAAGAAAGGAGGAACAAGAAGGCAGTAATCAATACCAGTTGAACAAGAGCAGAAAAAGCCAAGGCACAGGCTGAATACACGGAAATAAACAAACAAGTGAAGAGGAGCATCAGAACCGACAAACGTAAATATGTGGAAGATTTAGCAACGACGGCGGAAAAGGCTGCAAGAGAAGGAAACATGAGACAATTGTATGACACGACAAAGAAACTCTGGAAATCGCCGCAAACCAGAACGACCAGTGAAAAGCAAGGAAGGCAAGGTAATCACCAACATTGAAGAGCAACAAAACAGGTGGGTAGAACACTTCAAAGAACTCTTGAATCGACCAGCCCCACTGAACCCACCCAACATCGAAGCAGCACCCACGGACCTCCCAATTAATGTTGGCCCACCAACAATTGAAGAAATCAGCATAGCCATCAGACAAATCAAGAGTGGCAAAGCAGCAGGACCGGACAACATCCCAGCAGAGGCACTGAAAGCAGACGTAGCGGCAACTGCACGGATACTCCACATTCTCTTTAATAAGATTTGGGATGGGGAACAAGTACCAAAAGACTGGAAAGAAGGACTACTGATCAAAATACCGAAGAAAGGCGATCTCAGCAAGTGTGATAACTACAGGGGAATCACTCTTCTCTCAATACCGGGAAAAGTCTTCAACAGAGTATTGTTAAACAGGATGAAGGACTGCGTAGACTCACAACTTCGTGACCAACAGGCAGGATTCCGTAAGGATAGATCGTGTACAGACCAAATCGCAACTCTACGGATCATTGTGGAACAATCAATTGAATGGAATTCATCACTCTACATCAACTTCATTGACTACGAAAAGGCATTTGATAGCGTGGACAGAACAACACTATGGAAACTTCTTCGACACTACGGCGTGCCTCAGAAGATAGTCAATATCATACAGAACTCATATGATGGATTACACTGCAAAATCGTGCATGGAGGACAGTTGACAAAGTCGTTCAAAGTGAAGACCGGTGTTAGGCAAGGTTGCTTACTCTCACCCTTTCTCTTTCTCCTGGTGATCAACTGGATCATGAAGACGTCAACGTCTGAAGGAAGGCGCGGGATACAATGGACATCTAAGATGCAGTTGGATGATCTAGACTTCGCAGACGATCTGGCCCTTCTATCCCAAACGCAACAACAGATGCAGGAGAAGACAAACAGTGTGGCAGCAGCCTCAGCAGCAATAGGTCTCAATATACACAAAGGGAAAAGCAGGATTCTCCGATACAACACAGCATGCACCAATCCAATCACAATTGACGGAGAAGATTTGGAAGATGTAAAAACCTTTACGTATTTGGGCAGCATCATTGATGAACAGGGTGGATCTGATGCAGATGTGAGGGCGCGGATCGGCAAAGCAAGAGCAGCATATTTACAACTGAGGAACATCTGGAACTCAAAGCAACTGTCAACCAACACCAAGGTCAGGATTTTCAATACAAATGTCAAGACAGTTCTACTGTATGGGGAGGAAACCTGGAGAACTACGAAAGCCATCATCCAGAAAATACAGGTGTTTATCAACAATTGTCTACGCAAAATACTTCAGATCCATTGGCCGGACACTATTAGCAACAACGTACTGTGGGAGAGAACAAACCAGATCCCAGTGGAGGAAGAAATCAGGGAGAAGCACTGGAAGTGGATAGGACACACATTGAGGAAAGCACCCAACTGCGTCACAAGACAAGCCCTCACATGGAATCCTCAAGGTCAAAGGAAAAGAGGAAGACCAAAGAACACATTACGCCGGGAAATGGAGATAGACATGAGAAAAATGAACAAGAATTGGATGGAACTAGAAAAGAAGGCCCAGGATAGAGTGGGTTGTAGAATGCTGGTCAGCGGCCTATGCTCCTTTGGGAGTAACAGGCGTAAGTAAGTAAGTAATATGAAGGTATTCATTTCTATTCTATTATTATTATTATTATTCTATTATTATAAGCTTTATTCAACATTATGTTTTTGGTACAACATAGAATTCTCAGCATAAAGTATTTCAACAAGGTTCCTTTCCTTTTACCTTGATCGATTGTGACGATAAATTTTGAATGATGACCAGTTAGATGTTAGAAGTTCGGTAATCCACATTTGATTACTGTTCATTTGTTTCAATGCATATTGCCAGCAACCATGATGTCTCTGATTGTACCTTTTTGTATCCCGTATAGCGAAAGGTTGTAAACTTTTCATAAACGCGCCTGAATAGGTTGTGCGCACAATAGACATAGTGATGTGCTAAAACAAACAACAAAACAGATAACTTGATGAAATATCTAGATCGGTGGAACAGGTAGCCCAGATATTCAAGCAGGCCGCCGGTTGGACTATTGTCTCTACAAACAACTTTTTTTATACATTTTCGAATAAATCACTGTTAATGGTGAATTTATTTGGTGCAAATTTTTGTTGAAATTCATTTGCCCCACGGCAATTTTTTTAAAAAAACCCCCACCCACCCTTTTAAAAATGTTTTTTCAACCCAAAATTGCAATATTTTTCATCCCGTTTCGTCCAATGAAATGGCTAGTTTTGAAGTTCGTTTTTAATTTGTTAGTTATGTTTTGTCGGATTGCTATAAAACATCAGTACTTGTCGACGAAGTACATTTTAATCATCATTATGGAGGACAGTAACTTGCCTAGTACAAGCGCTGTTGTTTCTCACGTAACAGAAATAGAGGAAGTCTTTTTGACAACGTTGTTTCTCGTTGCGTTCCCATCGATTGAAGCGTTGAAGTCCGCTATCGCAAATTATGAAAGATCAACTTACTGTCATTATGTAGTTCGAGATTCGCATTTGTGCAGAAATGAAAACTCGTACATTAAATTTGTGTGCTGGAGACATGGCCGTATAACATCTAGCGATTCGTCACAGCGGATTAGACGGAGGAGGTAATTTTATAAATGTTATTAACATTTTTTGTCATGAAGGGCTTCCATGAACACTGAATGTCCGGCGTCATGTATTGTAAGATTATCGACGGCTACTGGACTGTTGTACGTGGGAATGTGCATCACAATCACGAGTGCAATTCCCTAAGGTACCAAGGAAATTCATGGGTGCGCAGGTTAACAGAGGCCGAGTTTGAAAATGTGCGACCGCTGCTAATATCTGGTACTGCTTCATTCCACATTAAGAATTATGCTTACCATTCTTATGGGAAACTACTTACTGATCAAGATATCTATAATATGCGGTACAAAGTGTTCTCACAGGCGAACATTCCTGGTAAGCCATTTGCCAATTTATAATGTAAACGATAGGTGATTACGGGAAATTGAAAGCGCACATAACATCTTTGGGTGGGCGATGCGAATACGAATTAGACGATGAGAACCGTCTATCGTACTTTTTCTTCAGCACTGGTGATCAAAAGATTTTCGCAGACCGTTTCGGTGATGTTATTGGTTTGGACGGAACATACAAGACGAATAACGAGAATATCTATTTATATCAGGTCGTAGCCCTTGATATGAATTTGAAGGCGATACCCGTTTGTATTGCATTTATAAGTCGCGAAACATCGACTTTGATTTCTCGATTCCTGTCGTTCTTCCAACGGTTAACCAACAGTCGACAGGTGGTAGGCATTGTGACAGATGATTCACCTGCAATAGCTGCTGCCATCATGCAGGTGTATCCCAATGCTCACCATATCTTGTGTCGCGTCCACCTTGTTCGCAATGTTATAAAGAGGGTAAGTGTTCCGTTCATTAACATTAACCCAGTAACCGTAATTGTAGAGGGTACGATCAGAAGTGATACAACTATTTTTTCGCCTGATGTTTACTCAAACGGTTGAAAGGTAAATCAAAAGCAACATAACAATATTTTGTAGTTTTAACACTGTATTATCCTTGATCGAAATATCGGACGGAACGTTTGCGCGATATGTCAGAGACCACTTATTAGCGAGAAAACACAAATGGTCTACAACAGGGACTTACAATGTACACCGTGATTCCATGCGCTGCTCCTGTACATTTTCCATTGAAAACGGTTTGCCATGTTTCATAGATTCTGTGCTTATGACCCATCACCGAACGTACGAGCAGTACACTGTCCGATGTGTGGCGCCATTACCAACTAATAGTTTGGACGTCCCACCGCGAGAACGATTAAAGGCCCTTTTCAGGGCCACCCACAAATTTATTTAAAGGCATTTTTCCCAATATTGTTTTTGTCGTTGGCAAAGGTCAAATGATTAAGCACTTTTTAATGTCGAATGCATTTCGATATACCTTAGATATTAATAATCGATAAGCGATTATCGCTCATGTATTCGTAAACTTGTTTCCAATGTGTAATACATATAAAGGTTAAGAAAGCAGACAACATTTAGTCATTTTATGAACACTTATCTAATAATTTTAGAAGTAAAGTAATGTGATTACCGTTCATGTCTTAGTAACATATTTGTAAACTATCTATTACTAGTACATTTTAATAGGAATATTTTAAAATAGTGAAAATCGTTATTTTGTCGTTAGGTGAATAAGTTTATTAGTGAATATAATAAGATAGTTACAAAGATGAATGTGATTAATATAAAAAGTGTTAAAATAAATGAGAATATTAACCGTTTCATGAATACAAAATGCAAGAATTTCATATTCCAGTTTTATTTTAATAGTACCTGAAACCAGAACTAAGCGTACGTATGAATTACGTCCGATCGTCAACTAAGCCTTCATTGTTATTCATAACCACTGATTATATCAACGTATTCATTTGCACACCCATATAACTATTAATTACTGGTACAATCACACTATACAGTTATAAGTCCATAATTTCCATATTTTATAAAGGCCAAAAATATGTCATGGCATTAATGAATTTGACAATGTACTGTATTAATAATGGTGAACGTTTACATCTGTTACGACATATATATATATATATATTTATATATATATATATATATATATATATATAAATTACAAATTGTAACATTTGCAAATTAGAAAGGTCATTCAATAAAGGTCTGGATTATTTGCAGTACAGTGTTGTAACATTTGCAAATTAGAAAGGTCATTCAATAAAGGTCTGGATTATTTGCAGTACAGTGTTCAGTCACAATAAGTGGAAGAGCATTATAGGAAAATTTAAAATGCAAAGAATTTTGTGTCAATGAAATGCACAGTAGGAGAATTGAATCTTGTCAATTGACATAATAATAATAATAATAATAATAATAATAATAATAATAATAATAATAATAATAATAATAATAATAATAATAATAAGGAAAATACATAATAATAACATTGTAAATGTTCATTGATACAGTTGACCTTATTCATATTTATACATTTAATGTCGATAGATATTTGTTGAGTCAGTCAGACGACGTAGGCTTGTTCATTCACACTTGATGAAAATGATATTTCAAATGCTTGTCAAAATGGTTACATTCATAATGTCTAGATAATTCAGGTTTCATATTACGGCGGTTAACAATATTCACACATGACTGATTAAACACACATTAGTTTTTATTACGACCAAAAAATTAATTTTAAAATACAGAACTACAAATAATTTACAAGTGAACACAATAAACCGTTTCAATGGACTTTTACAAATTAACCACATTTAAATCTAACGTTTTCTAATTCTCATTAAGAATGAACATTTACAAAATAATCGTTTACTAAATATTAAGTGTCTATTTCGGAAAATTTATTACTACATTCATATACTGTCAAAGTCAGTTCATTCAATGATGGTCTACGGTTGCTTCACCTGAATTATACATATTACAACCAATAAGTTATCATAATGATTTATTGATATGTTGATTTCTTTTTCCCATTAACACACCGTGTGTTACCAAAAAACCTATGCATACACTTTAGTGATAATTTGTTTAGTAATTTGGTATTGAATATTGGACTACCGACCTCATTCAGTAATCACTATTATCAAATATTCAAACCGGTTTTCAGTTGCTTTTTTCCAAAAACTTTCTTTTTATGTGATATATATAAGTATTCGTGACATTAAAATTGTTGATCGGAAATCAAAAATTTATCCCAATACGCATTCAGTAACAGTAGGATTGCACTTAAGTTAGTGTTTTTTTCTTAAATGTCTAAATTTCTTACAAGACTTACATTACACAAAAAGATTTATTCACGATCGTTAAATTTCAAATGTAAAAATCAAAATTCTGACATCCAATCACAGCTCCAGATGCGATTTCAATTTCAACTAATCAGATTACAAAGATGAACAGTTTACGACCAATTACAAAATTATTAAAGGTGACAAAATGTTTGTTCATTATCACTTGAGCACACACTTGCAAAACAAGTCCACCAATCACCGATCGCTAAATTTTTCTTTGACACCATACATTTTTTTAGAAATGGGTGGTAGGGAATCTTAATTGCCGTGGGCAAAATGTCAACCAATTTTGTTCATTTACTGCAACAACAACAACAACAACAACAAAATTCGGTTTTATTATTGGTCACATTCAATGATCCAATCGCAATGTATCACAAACACTGATATCTATGATACTTATTAAAGTATTTGAATGATTGGGATTTTATTTATTTATTTATTATCTTATTCATCAAATCTAATGTTTCATGGTTCAATGTATTCAATATTAATTGTATATTTACACTGTTATGAATATTCATTGGTTAGCCTGTTAACCACAGATCATATCATCAATGAATTCATAAATGATAATACTGAAGAATATGGAAAGTTGATTTGGGGAAATGAATCCTACAGACAAGTATGAATGTTTAGTTTTTTTGTTTTTTTAATTGAATTCTTTGTAAACAAACTAGTCTTATCATTATTATTATACACAATTGATTAGAGTCGATCAATTGTCTCCAGTTGTATTTAATAAATTTAATAAAAGTTTAATACCTGCAATATCATATCTGGTAAATTACTTTATTGTATTTGGTTGTCAAATGAATTATTCATTCAATGTATAGGGTGTGAATACTTTATTCCCAATAAAATATTATGGTATGCAATATAATTCAGTGAATATACTATCTAAAGGTAAGTGATAAACATTTTATTTTTTTTTAAAGAAAAAAATTCACTAAATCATATCCATTTTAAACTAGTCCAACTTGAACTTTCATTTGTGGTTAGTTCTTTCTTCCTATACTATATCCTTATTGCAACCTTTGACCTAACCACTCCTATGAATCCGGTGTTCATCTTGCTGTGCTAATGAGGTATGGCAACCTGGACCGATGCACATATGTGCCTGGTCCTACGTTGTAGCTGACTGACTGACTGACTGACTGAGTTGTTTACGGTGAATGATTTGTTTCATTTACTATCTAATAATACTCTAGAAGTGCTTAATCGATATATGTGATATCTACTACGATGTGGTAAACATTGACGTCAGTAATTCGATTCGGTACACATGTAATAATTTGAGGTAAATAATAACATCATATACTTAATCAATGATCTGAAATTGTTCGAAGAAACATTTAAACGATGAACTGTTTAATGTTTGTTGGATATACTGCTAACTTGAATTCTGAGGTTCACGATTAAATTATCCAGCTCATAAAATACACTTACTTACTTACTAAGGCCTGTTACTCCTCGTCAAGGAGCATAGGCCGCTCACCAGCAATCTCCATCCGACCCTGTCCTGAGCAATCCTTTCTAGCTCCGTCCAGTTGTAATTCATCCTTTGCATATCTGCTTCTATTATCCGACGTAATGTGTTCTTTGGCCTTCCTCTTTTTCGCTTTCCTTCAAGATTCCAAGTCAGGGCTTGTCTCGTGATGCAGTTTGATGATTTGCGTAATGTATGTCCTATCCATTTCCATCGTCTTTTCCTAATTTCTTCTTCAGCTGGGAGTTGGTTTGTTCTCTCCCACAGAAGGCTATTGCTGATGGTATCCGGCCAATGGATGTTAAGTATCTTGCGTAGACAGCTATTTATAAATACTTGTACTTTCTTGATTGTGGTTGTTGTAGTTCTTCAAGTTTCTGCTCCATACAGTAGAACTGCCTTGACGTTCGTATTGAAGATTCTCACTTTGATATTGGTTGAAAGTTGTTTTGAGTTCCATATGTTCTTCAATTGTAGGAATGCGACCCTTGCTTTGCCGATCCTCGCCTTTACGTCTGCATCTGAGCCTCCTTGTTCATCGATGATGCTTCCTAGGTATGTGAAGGATTCTACATCTTCCAGAGTTTTGCCATCAAGAGTGATTGGATTGCTGTTTTCCGCTTTGAATTTGAGGACCTTAGTTTTCCCTTTGTGTATGCTGAGGCCTACTGATGCAGAGACTGCTGCTACACTGGCTGTCTTCATCTGCATCTGTTCGTGTGTACGTGATAGGAGGGCTAGGTCATCTGCGAAGTCCAAATCGCCGAATTGATTCTGAGCTGTCCATTGTATTCCGTGTTTTTCTTCAGATGTCGAGGTCTTCATAATCCAGTCGACCACCAGAAGAAAGATGAAGGGGAGAGTAAACAGCCTTGCCTGACTCCGTTCCTCACTTGAAATGCATCTGTCAGCTGTCCTCCATGCACTACTTTGCACTGTAGTCCGTCGTATGAGTTCCGGATAATATTGACAATCTTCTCAGGAACTTCGTAGTGTCGAAGAAGTTTCCATAATGTCCTCCTATCTACACTGTCAAATGCCTTTTCATAATCAATAAAGTTGATGTATAGTGACGAGTTCCACTCAACTGATTGTTCGACGATGATCCGTAGTGTTGCAATTTGGTCTGTGCACGATCGATCCTTACGAAATCCAGCTTGTTGATCTCGATGTTGGGCGTCTACTGCATCCTTCATCCGGTTCAGCAACATCCTGTTGAAGACCTTCCCTTTTATTGACAGTAGTGTAATGCCTCTGTAGTTTTCACATTTGCTCAGATCTCCTTTCTTTGGAATCTTGACGAGGTGTCCCACTTTCCAGTCCATCGGCACTTGTTCCTCCTCCCAAATCTTTTTGAATAGAAGATAAAGCATGCTTGTGGTTGCCTCGATGTCTGATTTCAGTGCTTCTTTGTTTTGAATGATGCTTTGATGATTCTGGATCCGTGAGACTCCCATCCTACAAGTGCATTTCGTGCTACTTTGGACAGCATAAGAGCGACTCCCTGAGTGTGTGGAGCATTTTCCTCTTCGTGACCGGAGTATAGCAGCATCTCTCCCGTAGCTAGCCTTTTCTGTCCAGCTTGGGTCCAGTGGGTTTCGCTGATTCCCAGTACTCCTAAGTTGTATCTCCTCATTTCCATTGCTATTTGACTGGTCTTCCCGGTTTCCCACATTGTTCGAACGTTCCATGTACCTATAAAAATTTTTGCTCTGGTTGTTAGAAGGGGCATCGTCCTCGTGGCTTCCGAAGGATCTCGGCTTTCACCATGAAGCGTCATAATTCTTCTAAATGAAGACCTTCTAACTCCCAGGGCAGAGTTTAAAAGGTTTGAATAATTTTTTCTGGTTAGCGTTTTTTAGCGAGTTAGTTTTCTACGGGATGGGGACGCTAACCCCATGTCCAACCCTCCTCCTTTACCCGGGCTTGGGACCGGCAGTAACCCTATAAGAGCTACAGGTGGAGTTTCATAAAATACAATTCCTCCAAAATCATCCACTTCGGCTATATATCGTCCCCATTATCTCATCACTTTCTATGAACGTATAATTTATTAGCAGTCTGTCATTGCAATTGAATACATTACTTCCACACTGATGAGTTCTAACAATTGCAATCATCATTCCTTTGTCCTGACGAAAATATAGTTTAAAGAAATTTCACACCAATCAGTTTATAGGTTATTGGTGTTCGTTTATAGATGAAATGTATTATCGTTCATTTTGTGTGCCGAATACATTAAACAAAGAGTATTTTTACATTATGTTTCTTATTATTAGTCCATCGAACAGTTTTCCATCTTTGATGTGTGTTTTTATCTTAATTAAGGAATCGTGGGTATTGGAAAATCATTTCGTCATTCTGGAGCAATGAAAAAAATTGAAGTTTTTAATGGGATGGATAAAGATGGTGGAGTGGAGATCATGAATACTAGTAAGCTTTCTCAGCTTATTCACGATATCAAGTGTCCTAATGACCTGTTTACGTATTTCTTCCAGACATTTTCTAACGACAACAATAAATTGCAAAGCAATAACTAATTATACGTCACTTTTAGTTTTAAGAAACGAAACCAAAACGAGCTTTTTATATTCAGTAATACAGATAATCACAAAACATCACAAGAACAACGAAACTGTAGTTGTTAATCTAGTCACTATATACGTAATTTATGTAAAACCATAATTATCCCGCTAGTCTCTCTTTCCCATAAATTGTTTTCACATTTATTTTTAGTAACTTTATTGATCTGATATGGAGTTTACTCATATCGCCATAGACTTCATTACAAAATATAAAATATCCTTCTACAAACATTGAAAGCAAGAGTGACTTGAGTAAATCATAAATTAAATGCTCATTCAAAATGATATGGTTTATATGACTGCTTCACAACACTTATTGTGTTATTGGCTTTTCAATAAGACGTTCAGTGTGAAACGATAATTCATTTGGAGTAGTTTTACAGTGGTGAACTAAGATGGATGGTTTAACTCAAAAACATTCATTTTCATCCAGTACTATGGCATAAACAGCTTTCTTAAATAAAAGTAAAATTTTTAGCTTCATTCTACAGATGTTAAATCACTATTTGATTGGTCATCCTCAAAGGTCAGATTGTTTTCATGTACGGAAATCCACTGTCATTTTCAAAGTTTCATCAATCATTCATTTTGCCATTTTTTTCAGTCAAAGCTTGGCTTCTAGATGTCTATATGCATTAATGTGTTTTATAAAGTGCTATGTCTCTTCATTACAAACCTATATCCTTGAAAGTTTTGCTGTGAAAGACTTCCTTTTTCTTAAGTACAGTACCTACTGAAGTTGATACAATTAACCTTATAAATAGTATTGGATAGGTCTTTATTTACAACTGTTTCCTATAGTCTACTTAAGATGTGACAGATTGATATTGTTGGCTTATCAGTTATTCGGAATCTTAGTATCTCAGAATTCTGCTAATAATTTCCGAGATTTATTTTTAAATGTGATCTGTCTTGAATCTTCTACATATGTTTCTAGAGCAGTAGACAGATTTTCTTAGCTTACTTTGTAGCAAATTTATAGGTACTGATTCATCCAGAAGTATGAAGAAACCGATTTTTGTTAATTTTACACCTAATAAACGTGTCATAGTGTTCCAGCCTTATTATACATTAATTGTACACACGTTCATCTCATTTTGTTAAATTTACGAAACATATTGTCGAGCACAAACCTAACACAATATTCAGTGGAAACCCAGTACATAAGAAGATAAAAAAAAGTCTTTGAAGATAACCAATCACTGAGAGAATGATCAGAACCAACAATTTGGTAATTGTTTAATGAATTCAAACGCTCACTCCTATTTAAAATAGCATCTACTGGCGTCATACAGAATACAAGTGAAAGCTTTACAATTAAACTACCCAGCTCACTTTTATATCAAAAGAAGATCTGATGAAGAAATTATCAATGACAATTTCGGAAAGGAATTTCGAGGTCGAGTTAAATATTTCCTCAATTAAGTTATTCAGTTATATTTCGATTAAAATTTTGTCGAAACAAATCGACCACAAACGTGGAAATGACTTCCCCTGAACTTTAAGTTTCATTTATATAGCGGATTCCAAGTGTGTTTCTTTAGTATACTTTTCACTACTCAGTATCCTTCTTTCATCACTAAGTAATTTCATATTTTTATTCTAAGCGATATTTTTATACGTGATGAAATCTAAGTTAACGTAACAACCAGTCAGTCAGCTACAACGTAGGACCAGGCATATTATGCAACAGTTCAAGTTGCCAAACCTCAATAGTACAACAAGATGAACACCAAATTCATGGAAGCCGTTGCTTCACTAGTATTAATATTTAAAAAAAGCATCGGCATATAAGGATATGATACAGGGAGAAAGAATTAGTTCGTAGAAAGAAAGGTATGAAGTAATTTTAATCTCACGGTTTAAGGGAAGAAAATGAGTGTACACACCTACGCCATCGTGATCGATTCTGAGCCATGTCACCCAGAGTCTCCAAATATTGGTTACGATAGTCACACGGACCCCAATCAAGTAGTCTAGTTTTTTCAACGTGGCTCAGACTACAAGTTAGTGACTTCAAGCGCTGATGCCACATTTTAGTTTGGCCGCTTCTAACTTTCTTTCAACCAACACTAACACTAGTCAACATTGCGAGTCGTGGTGATCGGTGTCTGGTAATGCGTACTACTTGGTTCAACTATCTCATTCGATGTAGATTCACAACCTCATCAACTGATTTCCCATCATTCCCCTATACCCTCCGTCTATCCTCACTACTACTTACCCAGTGATACCAACAGATGGGAGCAATATTTCTAAGACATCTGTGATCAAATACTAATAACTTACGAGTATCCTCTAATCTTAATGGCCAAGTTTCGCAGTCATAAAGTAGGACAGAACGAACTGCTGCGTAGTATACTCGTCCTTTAATTCATAGCCAAAATGAAGAGTTGTTATTTTAATTAAATAACAAATCACCATTATCTTTGGAGGAACTTAATTTCATATACAGTTACATGTATCAAGATAATAAAGAAAATAACGTAATTTTCAAATTTCAGACAAATTTTTGGCTATCAAATGGATTAATTTAAGTATTTCTACTTTGCATGATGATGAACCGGAAGAGTATGGTAAGTTGTTCAGTTTATTACTGAAATATAGCCTATTTTTTGATCCGTTCAAAAATAAACATCGTTTTATGGGGATAGTTATGGAAATAGCAAGAAGTTACTTTAGTGTACTGAAATACAGTCTTTTTGATCTGTTGACTTCTTATCAAGACATTCCAGACCATAGTTTTACTCCAGTTTTATATGAACATGTTCAAGGAAATAATTGAACGTTTAATCTCTCAAACTGTCTGTACTCATTTAGTATTTCAATAAGTAAACTTGATTAAATGAAGTAAAATGGAGTATAGACTACCAGTTCACTTCAATTTCAACCTGGATGTTTGCACATTATTCTACAGGAAAAACTAAAGTCACAGTTGCCCCCCCCCCCATGAAAATTAAATTAATCAACTATCAGTTATAAAGCAAAGTTAAATACCGATTATAATTTTAATAATAAACTGGAAACAAAAGCGTTCTCATTAGAAATTTTCGTTGTTTGATAATAAGTACAATCCATGTTGTCGACCGCCAAATATCGATTCTTACTCACAAATATGATTGATAGTATTTCAAAACAATTAGTCCCTTTGATAAATTTCGATAATGCAATGAGAAGACGTAGTTTATCAGAATTATGTGATGATAGATTTGAGCAATACATTTCGAACAATCTGATCACACATCATCTACTTGTTAAGAATATTTATATATAAAAAATTAAAAGGTCAACTTAAAGGATATAAATATAAAGACAACGACAATGTGCTCCTTTATTTACAAATGTACCTCTTAGGAAAACCATTGATATTTTGTGTGACTTTATTTCTTCGAAAAACCTTCCACTACCTTTTCCTGTTAAAACTCTTAAAGATTTATTATTATTATGTACAGACAATGTAAAATTCACATTTGAAGGTGAACACTTCAGACAAATTGATGGTGTAGCTATGGGCAGCCCTCTAGGACCATTGCTAGCTGATGTGTTCATGGGATATGTGCAAAAATTTAGTTGGAGACTCAATTCGAAAGATGGGTCTGTATAAACGATATGTAGACGACATAATAATCATAGGTGATAAAATTGAAGACATAAGCCGCCTGTTAGAAGAATTCAATAGTAGTCAAAACCACATTTCTCTTACATGTGTGGAAGAGAAGAACAACCAACTTCCTTTTCTTGACATCCTGATTACTAGGAGAGATGATGGTTCCATCAAACGTGCTATATATAGAAAACCAACATGGACAGGACAATATCTTAATTTTTATAATCACTGCCCCATTCATTATAAACGTGGTTTAATAAAGAGCTTATTCAATAGAATCAATCGTATTTGTACTAGTGATACTATTGAAGTAGAGATGAAGTTCTTGGCTGATGCGATAATCAATAATGGTTACCCTTTGAACTTCATAAACCGCTGGAACGGTTGCAATATGACTAGACCTATGACGCTTCTGGCACCCAAAAAGCGAGTTTATATTATGCTACCATTCAGGGGTGATAAAAATAGTCTCATGTTGAAACAGAGACTTAAATTAGCTATCAACCGGACATTTTATGCAGCCCAACTTGTCATTATCGAAAAGACAAGGTCTATGTTTCACCAAAAGCCCAAACAGCATGAAAACGATTGTGTCACATCCCATTGTGTCTACAAATTTACATGTATGTGTGGAAACACGTACGTAGGGAGGAGCAATCGTGATTTGCAATTAAGGGTGGGTGAGCATATACCAAAATGGTTGCAAAATCAGATGAATTCCAATGGTGAAATAAGACCACAGAATAGACAGACATCATCATCCATTGCGAAACATTTGATTGAGACGGGTCATAAGGTTGATATCAAATCAGCATTTGTTGTGTTGTACCAAAGCCTTCAAGGACGTATACTAAGGTTTATTGAAGCCCCTTTATGTGTTCAAAAACAATTTGTACTTACACTTAACCTACCCTGGTAGTACTGATTTACTGTCCAGAGTGGTAATCACATTTGTTTTTGTGTACTTTAATATTTCTCCTTTGTTATGACTTACCCTTAACCTGTCTAGTTGACCTTTTAATTTTTTATATATAAATATTCTTAACAAGTAGATGATGTGTGATCAGATTGTTCGAAATGTTTTGCCCAAATCTATCATCACATAATTCTGATAAACTATGACTTCTCATTGCATGATAGTATTTCATTTCCGATAAGGATTTTACTTGAACAATCAACCCGAAGAATATAATTTTCTGATCATCTCTGTTATATAAATAATAATCCTTTCAGATTTACTGTTATTTTAATGGTGAGATTGAATAAATTCAGTAATTTTGCTAACATTCTTACCTTGGTTACAAAAATATATGAAAACAGATAGCATGCATCTAAATAAATTTTTTTTTAATAAAGAAGGAACGAATTGAGCGAAGAAATTTCTTTTCATCATGTCTCTACACTAATATACATAAGTATGATTTACACTAATGATATAATACTCATCGAGTGGATACGTTACGTAATGATCATTACATAATGACATTTAAATTAACATTGAGTAATTGGAAGAAAGAGGATTATTAATAATCAAAGTGATCAAGAAGTTGCTAAGTTGCGTAATGTAAGAAACAAAGAAAGAACAGAATTTTAACGGATGGTCAATAGGATGGTAGTTACGTAAGAATCAAGAGATGAATGTTGAGAAGTTATTAAGTTCATAAGCAACAGAAATATAAAAAAAATGGAAGAAGTATGAAAAATAGTTCTTTTGAAGGAAATCTTAAACTGATGGCCAGGGCAGGGAAAGTGGTTGTACGAATCTCTTTTGAATGTAAAGGTCAGGTTTGTGAATATGGATTGCGATGGCTTCCGCAAGCATGATAAATAGAAAAAAGTTTAGGTATTAAAACTGAGTTTATCAAACAGGAAAATCACTAATACTAAAATATTATATTACTACATAAGAAATATGGTAATTTAATATTGTTGCTAAGACATCATATGTGACGATTGATTAAAGTGACGTTAGAATTCGAAATGACAACATTGATAACAATGATAAACGTTGTGGTCAATAAATTTCAATTCAACTAACCTGCTTACTAGTGACTGACTTCAGGAGACACTTCTGGAGTTCTAGTGAGAAGTCGTTACCAGTGGAGTTCAACCAGGTCTGTTGTGAGATAGGAACTCACTGAAGACAATGGTGTACGGTAGCGCAAATTCGTGGATTGGTTGAAGTTAGACATTAACACCGTTGGATGCCGGCCAGCTCAGTGGTCTAATGGTTAAGTGCTCGCGCGCGAAGCCAGTATGTTCTGGGTTCGAGCCCCGCGTGGTGCAGGGTCGCGGATGCGCACTGCTGAGGAGTCCCATACTAGGACGAAACGGCCGTTCAGTGCTTCCAGGTTTTCTATGATGGTCTAGCTTCAACTGACTAATGAGTTCAATCTGTGAAAATTTCAACTAAGAATATCTACATTGAAAGGTAACAAAGGTCGAATTTGTTTAAAGGGCCACTATTGGCCATAATCATTTATTCTTTAAATTCGATGAAAACGATTATGTCTCTGACTACGAAATTCGTTGATATGTCAGATATGTATTGTAGAGAGAATAGATAATAAAGTATCAGTGTCTATTATGTAATTGATTTAATTCATTTTAAGGAATAGATCATGTAAACCTTCAACTTTACTAATATTTCATTTCAGCCATAGTGGCTTGCATTATATACTCCAATGGAAATATATCAGTTTACTTTGAGAAGGTAAGTCAAACTGTTCATTAATACATTATGGTATAAATATGCAGTATTGAATTCATAGTATTGAGTATTTCCAGATAGGATTTTTTTTGTTAGCTTTATGCGGGTAACTTTTTTTTATCTACCTGCTCTCTATTCTGTCAGAGAACAATAAAAAAACTTATGAATGAGACTAGCAGTGGCTGTAATATGTACACACTATCTGCACTCAATAGTTTGAAACTCTTCACCAACATAATATGTGCCATTAGTCTTGCTGACATCTTTCATAGTCCCACGCTGCACACTATGGTCTTCTCTCAAAACTTGAAGGATGATTAAATGGGAAATTTAGCAGAAACTGGTAAAATTATAGAATAAATTAACTGACAAATTTAAAAATAAAATAACTTTTCATTCATACACGTAAGTTATGTGTTCGGTTGATTTTCCCTTATTCCATGAACATTAAAAAGAAACACTGAAACGAAGATGGATCCCGCTCGCAGGATCGTGGATGCGCACTGCTGAGGAGTCCCACAATAGGACAAAACGCCTGTCTAGTGCTTCCATGTTTTCAATGGTGGTCTAAGATCAATTGGTTCATGATCTCAATCAAAAGTTAACAATCTCCACAACCCCTAAACTGGACAGTATATGGTTGCATAACTTCTTTAGCCCTTCACTAAAGCAAACTTATCTACATTCTGAAACAGATTTGACTAACAAGTTTGAAATCTTACAGAAATTATCTCCTGTTCTCAACTATTAACCAACTTCAAAACATCATTAGACATTGTCACATATTTGGAATAAGTAGTAAGTAGTCAAGCGGTCATAAATATAGTACAACAAGCAAGTGTTTTTTTTTTAATTATGTTCCATTTTAACGGCGTCGTTAATATAAAAATTTGACATCAAAATTATACCTAAATCAAAATCAAAATGTAATTTATTGTTATAGCAATTTGTTTCAACCAACACGAAACGTGAATAGACTAAACTGTGATTTATTGAATTTTTTTAACCAGTTCAGTTTTTTTGTGTAAAATTGTCTCAAGACTAATAGTCCGTGTTTAGTGCACATTTCTCTTAACAGACAGAAATACTTATCAATGACTAAGTCTGTTTCACAATTTTTAGTGATATCTGTTATTAAGTATAAAACAAGGTAGTTTTTCGACTGATAAGTTAGTACGGTTGGTAAATAATTAGTTTGTTATAGCAATTGGTTTTGGCTATCAGAATGTGAAAAAGTAGATACATAAATGAACTGATTCTGAATACACAATGAATATTCTTAGCTTTTCAACTGAGATACAAACTCTGGGTGTGTACTTCGAAGGAATCCCATACTAGGATGAATGATACATACAGTGATTTCGTGTTTCTAGTAGTCCCCTTACTAATGTCAGACCGTTGCGTAAACTTTGAAATTGAATATGTGGTATATAAGCTGAATTAGACGAAATTTTAGAGATTTGTAGTTATTGTTAGTTTAACTAAAATCCTTTGATTACTTAAAACTCTCTTTTTCAGTTGGTATCAATTGCTTATAGTCTTTGCTTGTTCAATGGAACAAGTTAATGACGTTACTTCTGATACAAATCTCATTCCATCTTAAGTAGACGTTGTTTCTACAATGTATTACGAATATTTTTTTGGATGAGGTTAAAGGTTAGTGGGTATAGATGCGTTAGAAGGACTGTTAAAAGGACTGTGAAAAAAACTGAAGTATAACTATATCTTCAAATCCCTCCACAAATATTACTTGAATGATAGAGATGATGAAAAATACTGAATATAAGAAAGACGAATAAGTGGCTGAACATTTTCAGAATGGGTTTTGTGGAGAGTTTTAGAAATTTCACAGATTGAAATCATGAGTCAGTTGAAGCTAGACCACCATTGAAAACCTGGAAGCACTGGACGGCTGTTTCGTCCTGGTATGGGACTCCTCAGCAGTGCGGGATCGTGGATGCGCACTGCTGAGGAGTCCCATACCAGGCTGAACATTTCTTAAATTATTCATACTCATAATTCTCATGATTATATATGAAAAATATGAGAATATAAATTATTTATCTTAATATGTAAGTGATTCTAACAATTTTTAACTCAAAGTTGAGTAACACAGTTATAGCTGGTCACAATTAACGACCGGTTTAAGTTGCGGTAAAACTTAATGAGTTAAGAGAGAGTCTATACACAGATATAAAATGGCTCATTGATTACTATTCATTAAAAATATGCAAACTAATTCATACAATAATAGCTCCCTACATTTCAGATTACTCCTTTTCGCCTCATCTTAACACTGGTAATTCGGACCTTATGTAAGCAGATCATACAGTCAAAGCTACATTAAAGAAACAATCCGATCAAAGCATTTATTGTCAATAATCAATTCAACACTCGTAGATTTTCCATTCTAGTTCTGCCTACTGTTACTTCGCTTACTTTGATACTGATAGATTTATAAAACTGATGGAAAATAATTTATCAAATTGTAGTGAACAAGAACACGGGTGGGATCACAACAATTACAGACCGTCTTAATAAAATCTGAATACCATATAGTAAATTGTCAATTTGCAAAATATCAATGCTTCAAACCAAACTGGACTGTTTCTGTTGCAAAAACCAATCCATTGTCTCCCATTCTATTGTTCATGCGTTTTCTTACAAATTCCATTGTGTTCTCGCTCTTTCTTTATTGATCTTCCCCAGTTTCTTCTACCAGACATCACGTTCTTTTAACTGACGTTATATACTACTCATATCAATATAAGTAGCTCACACCGCAAAATATTCTTCATTGTTTCATATTGTTCTTTCTCTCCAGATACCAACAGAATTTGGAAACAATGGAGGGAAAATAAGTATTACAGATGGTTATGATTATGCTACATATAATGCAAGTGAGATTTACATATTCTGTCTAAAATAACTTAAACTAGTTAACTTATGATACAAAATATTCCTTATTTAATGGCAAATATGAATATTTCTGGTTAATTCAATGAATATTCAGTTAGTTATAATTTTACTTATTAATCTTTTATCTGGTGACGATGTGAAGAACAATTTTAACCAATTAAGTTTTCAATTTCACTAAAATAAATCGTATTCATAGTAGTGTATTTACAGGAGTAAGATAGCTAGAATGAAAACTGCCAACTGCACTAACCCATTCATTATATGCCGTAGTTATATTAGTATGGTATAGAATAACTATTATTTACAATCCTTGTCGGGTAGAGACAGGTATCTACCTCAGTACAATGGAAGTTGGTCGCGCAATTTCGTGGATTGGTTGATGTTAGCAACTATCACCATTGGATGCTTGCTCAGTGGTCCAGTTGGTTAAGCGTTCGCACGCGAGACCGAAGGCCCTGGGTTCGAATCCCGCTCGCGGGGTCATGGATGCGCACTGCTGAGGAGTCCCACAACAGGACGAAACGGCCGTCCAGTGCTCCCAGGTTTTCAATTGTGATGGTCTAACATCAATCGGTACATGATCTCAATCAAAAACCTAATAATCTCCACAACCCCTATACTAGTTATTGTTTACAATGTTTGTCAAATTTCTCATAAGGTCTGAGCAATAAAACGTTCTTGATATTCTATAGAAAAGGTAAGACATATGCATTTTGGACAAAAAAAGAATTATGACGTTTTGTAGGTTACTATTGAAGAGAACCGTGATAATCTAGCTGTATGATGGAAAAAAAATTCCTCCTTGAATTTCATTCAAAATTCATCAAAATAAAACAGTTTTTAGATCTAAAACCGTGTAAATTCATCTAATTTTTTTTCTTTTTACCTAAAATGTTGCATTTACTTTCGTATAGCTGGACTATACATCATTAAAACTTCGTACAGTAATATTAAAACTCCGAAAATCATGATAAGATCTGGGACGTTGGTTGAATTCGCTCCAAATACAAGTAAATAAATTGAAATTTTTTAACAATATCCCATTTAACACAACAACAAAAATATTGATCCTTTAATATAGTAATGCTTCATTTTGAAGGGTTATCAAAATGGTTACTAAGCAATTTATTGCCTATGCAACTATTAATTATATTCGTTTTATGACTAAACAAATGACTCATGATTTCAATCTGTGAAAATTTCTAAAAATCTCCACAAAACACATTCTGATAATAATAATCACATGCTCACTAGTGACTGACTTCAGGAGACACTTCTGAAGTTCTAGTGAGAAGCCGTTACCAGTGGAGTTCAACCAGGTCTGTTGTGAGATAGGAACTCACTGAAGACAATGGTGTACGGTAGCGCAACTTCGTGGATTGGTTGAAGTTAGACATTAACACCGTTGGATGCCGGCCAGCTCAGTGGTCTAATGGTTAAGTGCTCGCGCGCGAAGCCAGTAGGTGCTGGGTTCGAGCCCCGGGTGGTGCTGTGTCGTGGATGCGCACTGCTGAGGAGTCACATACTAGGACGAAACGGCCGTCCAGTGCTTCCAGGTTTTCAATGGTGGTCTAGCTTCAACTGACTCATGAGTTCAATCTGTGTAAACAATTTTCTGTTTGAAGAGTCTTAAGGTAGGTAAAAGTTGTGAAATTATTTCAATGATCATTAATTACATTAATAAATAGTAATCTACAATGTTCTTGGAATAAATATTACTTTAGGGTTACCTAGAAGAAACAAGAAAATTTAATTTCAATGACATGAAATAATTTACTTTCATAATATTGAACAAGATATTCACTAAAATTATATTAAAATTACAAGTGGTTAGTTGATAAAAACCGTTAATATTTATTCTTTTAATCAGAGAGGGGTTCTTGTGGATATTATAGCAATTTAATAGTTGAGTTCATGAATCAATCGAAGTTAGCTGTGCGCATCCACGAACTCGCCTAGTAAGACTTGAACCCAGGGCCGAGTGGTTTCGCGCGCAAACGCTGAGGAGTCCCATTCTAGGACAAAACAGCCTTACAGTGCTTTCATGTGCTCCATGGTGATCTAGGTTCAATTGACTCATGAACTCAACTATTAAATTTATTCTTTTAATATTTTCATTTATAACGATACACTTAAATTGTAAATTATTTTAAACTTACAGAATGAATATCTTTGAACTACTCAAAAACAAATGAAGTTTTTGATATAACCAAGAGAACAAAGTGTTGCCATTTGTCAAGAGATAATACGACCGGTCGTGTAATAGGATGAGTACACAAACAATAAACTGGTTAATAGACTGGATATTCAATCAGTTCACTAGATAGATCATTTTATTAGATCACACGTAAACATGATTAATATCTGACTGAAAATTGAGAACCAGATTAGACAGACAATAATTGAATATGAGACGGGGCACAAAATTAACATTAATACAGCATTTAGAACGTTGTATAGAAATTGTCAAGGTCGAATTCTTAAGTTTATTGAAGCCTTAGCTGTTGGTAAATTTAAACCCCCCTCATGTGTACAAAAACAATTTGTCGTAATCTTGAATTTACCTTGGTAATTCTTAAGTCATTCTATGGCCTAGGATAACGCGACAATTTCTTATTCTTTCTCTCCCCTTAGTTATTTTAATTGTACTTTTATTTGTTTGACCTTTATTAATTTTCATATAAAAATGCCTTGATAAGTATATGTGTGACCAGATTGTTCGAAATGTATAACGCAAATACATCACATTTTTCAGATCAACTCCGTCTTCTCATTGTTCTATCGAAATTTATAAAAGGGACTAATTGCTTTAAATAATTCAATAACACAAGTTAAACGAAGAAATATCTCGTTTAAGTTGATTCTTCATCAAGAGTTTGTAATAATACACAAGTAATGAGATTAGATGGTGGTTGGAGGGAGCACCAGTTCCCTCAAGATTACAGGTACACCTTGCTGACGAGTGCCAAGTAGCACGAAACCCGGGTCCAGGGTTTCCTGTTGACTACCTCCAACCACCATCTAATCTCAATACATAGTGCCCGCAGTGTCGAGTCACCTAGACTGGTGGCCACATTGCAATATGATCGATAGCATTCGATCTGCACTAATAAGGACTAGACAAGCATGAGATTGATCACCACCCAGTGATCAATCAATTGTGATAATACACAAGTTTTACGATTAAGACTAAAATTAATTTAACAATGTATCTACATACTTACTCTTTAGTAAGAAACTAACTGAACACTTTTTTCTTTTCTCGACCTGTCTTTTCTCAACGTCTTGATATGACAGTAATTTATCCACTCAGAGTACAAGCAATCAACCACAATTTAATCGTAAGAAAAACCCTTAACGAACTACAGCTACAGTATAAAAATAGTCAATTATCTTATTAACTATAGTTATCAGCTAATCACCGTCGACATCAGTTTTCTTAGATTTACTTCAACAATGTTAGAAGTGTGAGATTAACCATCATTTTTCTAATGTTCGATAAAAGTTCAAATCTAACACTTTCGAATATTTTTCCGCTCATTTAGTGCGTGATTGCTGCATATAAGAGCACGATTTCAGTTCACTCATCTAAAGCTATCTGCTCATGTTTTCTGTGAACACGCTACTACAGTACATTCCAACTAACGGGATGTAGAAAGTAAGTAAAGTGTGAGTTAGAGCTTAAAATAAAATCTCCGGTGGAAATAGTACTTTCATATTCAGCACTCACTCACTAACGGAACAGAAAAATGCCAAAGAAAGCTTGATATTGCACACATATTGAACATTGTGAGACGGATGTGCCGGAAATTCACGGACACGAATTCTATCTCTCATGGAAGCCGATATCGTCACAAGTCAAGTAATTATAAATTATACAGAAGATTTAATATTGACTTAAGTAATATGAGTTTATTTGTTTTTCTCTAACGACTCAATTAATGTCTAATTATTCTGTTCTCTCCCTGAAAGTTTGTTCAGAGCAAAAAATTTGTGAGACATGTATTAAAGCATCCACTTTAAATGAAAAATGTTACTGGTGTCCAATTGTCAATAAATGTAGTCATGGATTTGATATCCACAGGCCAATATGGATGTTAAAAAACTGTTATATTAAAGTAAGTTTTGAAAAATTAGTTGCATTTTGTTGAACATTATTGTATTCATCTTCACAAATCTACCTTAACTTATCGTGTAGTTTGAAGTAACAAGAACATAGAAATCGTTATCCAAGGCGATGTATAGCAACTCACGTGCAATTGAGTTTGTTCACATTTAATTCTGTTAAGTTATTAACTTATTTAATGGACACTGAGTCATCTGTACAACAACAACAACAACTTATCTGTAGCATATTATCTTGATTACTGTTGCGAATGTATGAAGATGTATGCTTGAGCATTGCATACTGCCTACGCATAGATTCATCCTGCTAGCTTTACTATCAGTTGCTTAATTGATTCGATATACATATACATTAAATCCTATACACATTCGAATCGCTGACTCACTCATTCTTCTCTCTGCTTTGTGGTCTGAGCTATCTGCTAATAAAACTGTAGTCTCTGCTTCTCATTGCCTTCTTATTTCAAACACCGTTGCGGTTTATATTATAACGATTACTACGGTGATTGGTTAACGAAGCACATCCACTACATGGTACGAAAATAAGAGGTAAATCTATAGTCTACTATGTTTAAATCACTGAAAAAATTAACAAGTGTCAAACTACAGGGGATTTACAGTATATTTTTCACTTTGTATTGGGAGAAAAAACGAAGTGTTTAGGTACTTTGGTAAATGTGTTTTTAGAATCTTTAACAGTATGTGAGAAAAAAGTTCCAGAATGAACATTTGTACCTTAAAGGTTATACTCCACTGTTTACAAAATTTACCAATAAAATATTTATTTAAAATAATATTTAGAATTATGAATATTGAGAAATCTAGTACATAATACCTTCAGCACCTTTTAGCTTTATAGTCCAGTGAGAGTACAAGCTCTCTGATTATGTATCCATCAGCAGTTATTTGCTTACGAAAGAATGATATTCCAGGAATTTCAAGCACTTAGTCCATCTTCTACATTTTGATAACGAAATATGAAAATGAAATGAATAGGAATCATGCAATTTATTAGCGTAATACCTATTGAACACTTACACAATTCGTGAATTTTTAAGATAAACTTTCGGTTTTTATTGATTGAGATCATAAACTCATTGGTGTTAGACCACCAGTGAAAACCTTGAAGCACTGGACGACCGTTTCGTCCTATTGTGGAACTCCTCAGCAGTGCGCATCCACGATCCATGTTTTTAAGCTGTGCATAAAGTATGGTTGATTTCTGTGAGATGAATCGTATGATATAAGGAATGGACTTGAGAAGTTCTTATCACATCCAATGATATTTTGTTTTTTTTTCAGAACACTACAAAGTGTCAAGTGTCAACCACTTCAGTGTACAAACAGGAGCATGCTCTGAGCAGCATGCGAACCACTGAGTATTATTCAAATATTTTTCCTAACTACAGCTTTACAAACTATGCAAAAACAACTCCTGAACTATCAACAACAAATTCATTAAACTCTAAAACCACGAAAAATGGATTTCGAACTAACCAACTTCCATCATTTATTTGGAATAATAAGAACCTAGACAAAAGTGGTATCAGTCTCCCTTTATACTCGTTCATTTTAATGCCAACTGCATTAGCGGTCCTTTTTCTAAGTCTAATGTGTGCTCTGTGGTTATGTGTATATAAAAGATCAAAAGTATGTTATTGTCTCACTAAAGAAGTTGAATTTTTTAGTGTAGCATTTTATGTCTTTCGGCATAATCCATTAAAATGAGTTATTCGATACACGTTCGGTATAGACATCTATAATTTCAATACACTTTCTGTATTTATTACCAAACCCTAAGTCATTTATAATTTTTGTGGTGATTACTTGAAATAGGTACTTTTTAATTCAGAATCTCGATTGTTTTTATTTGATTGTGATATACGGTCCAACTCGACTAATGTACAATTGATCATTACAACTCTCCAGAAGGCGAAGGCAAAGACAAAGATGGTGTTGGAAGCTGTAATTAAAATGTTCTGACTCAGACTACTTACAAATTATGTATATTTATGCATAGTCAAATTGGCTGACATAATAACATAGAGGTGGTAATCTTGTGTTGCTTAATATTCGTGAATAACATACACAGCTGTAGTGATAAATAGTTTCCTTCGTAATTTCTTGTATATAATCTACAAAAAACAAAAGGATTTCTGTGTAGAGTGAAAATTAGAGTAAAAGATTCAGTAAATCAAATGACTTATTTATATATCAACTGATTGTGAAAGATCCACGACTTGTTTCAGATTTTATCACAAACGAGGAGACAATAAAAGATAAGGCTTAGAAATATGAAAATATTTGTTACTGGAGAAAAGAATCCCTATATTCCATTTCGCGGGAAAGGTTTCAACGTCGGGTAGATCACATATTTTTAATTACCATATATTGTTCTAAAAATGTAAATAAATAGTTTTATTAGGGGATGTTGGCAACTCTTACACTCTTTTTAAACTTGTATTAAACTAAATTATCTCCAGTTATTTAGATGGGTTCCATATAAGTTTCTTACTTACTTACTTACTTACGCCTGTTACTCCCAATGGAGCATAGGCCGCTGACCAGTATTCTCCAACCCACTCTGTCCTCCGCCTTCCTTTCTAATTCCATCCAATCCTTGTTCATATTTCTCATATCCATCTCCATTTCTCAGCGTAATGTGTTCTTTGGTCTTCCTCTTTTCCTTTGGCCTTGAGGATTCCATGTGATGAGGGATTGTCTTGTGACGCAGTTGGGTGCTTTCCTCAATGCGTGTCCTATCCACTTCCAGCGCTTCTTCCTGATTTCTTCCTCCGCTGGGATCTGGTTTGTTCTCTCCCACAGTAGGTTGATGCTAATAGTGTCCGGCCAATGGATCTGAAGTATTTTGCGTAGACAACTGTTAATAAACACTTGTATTTTCTGGATGATGGCTTTTGTAGTTCTCCAGGTCTCCGCCCCATGCAGTAGAACTGTCTTGACATTTGTATTGAAAATCCTGACTTTGGTGTTGGTTGACAGTTGCTTTGAGTTCCAGATGTTCCTCAGTTGTAAATATGCTGCTCTTGCTTTACCGATCCGCGCCTTCACATCTGCATCAGATCCACCGTGTTCATCAATGATGCTGCCCAAATACGTAAAGGTTTTTACATCTTCCAAATCTTCTCCGTCAATTTTGATTGGATTGGTGCATTCTGTGTTGTATCGGAGAATCCTGCTTTTCCCTTTGTGTATATTGAGACCTATTGCTGCTGAGGCTGCTGCCACATTGTTCGTCTTCTCCTGCATCTGTTGTTGCGTTTGGGATAGAAGGGCCAGATCATCTGCGAAGTCTAGATCATCCAACTGCATCTTAGATGTCCATTGTATCCCGCGCTTCGCTTCAGACGTTGACGTCTTCATGATCCAGTCGATCACCAGGAGAAAGAGAAAGGGTGAGAGTAAGCAACCTTGCCTGACACCGGTCTTCACTTCGAACGACTTTGTCAACTGTCCTCCATGCACAATTTTGCAGTTTAATCCATCCTATGAGTTCTGTATGATATTGACTATCTTCTGTTTGTTTTTCATCACATTGTTTGGGTATATTACATAGACAGACGTTAAACCTATGAAATGTCTTCGAAAATTTATCTGAACCTTGAAGGTATCTTTCAGTATCGACACTAAGCTCCATCCTAAGTCGAAGTACAACGTGTTAATTAGTGATAATATCTCTCTTAAAATGGGCTCCATTTAAAAGTATAAATATTGTTAGACCTCTTTGAAAAGCTGAATATAATCTTTCTGTGTGGATTCTCAAAGGAATCTTGAACCAGTCCAGTTTCATAGTAGTTTATTCTACAGCTAAGCTTGATTACTTATTGTTGAATACGACTGATCTCCGTTATCGTGATCTTCTTTGAACAAAGGTTTGATATGGTCCAATAAAAAGATCAATTAAATATTATTCTCTACAATATATGTTAATTAAATCCTAAACATAGTAAAAATAGCTTCAACTTCTAATGTTCATAGTAGTCTTATAGAGATTCATTTTCAAAAAAAGGTATGCATGTATTTATAATTCAATCTAAGATTTCAGTATTGAAGTAGATTTTCAGATAAAATCGACAATATGAAGATAATCAGAAAATGGGTTTTGTGGATATTGTAGCATTTTAATAGTTTAGTTCGTGAGTCAATTGAAATTAGACCATTATGAAAAACCGGGAAGCATCGGACGGCCATTTCATCCTGATGTGGGACTCTTCAGCAGTGTGCATCCACGATGAAAATTCATCTTTGATGAAATAAGTTTTCCTCATTTATTTCATATTCAAAATCAGCTTTTCTATAGTTCTATTAAGTAATTGTTAAAATTAATACTTTTTGACATTTGTTTAGTGTTTTTGGTTGAGATCATGAATTAATTGAAGCTAGACCACCATTGGAAACCTGGAAGCATTGGACGGCCGTTTCGTCCTAGTATGGGACTCCTCAGCAGTGCGCATCCACGATCCACGATGCGCACTGCTGAGGAGTCCCATACTAGGACGAAACGGCCGTCCAGTGCTTCCAGGTTTCCAATGGTGATCTAACATCAATTAATTCATGATCTCAACCAAAAACTTAACAATCTCCACAACCTCCATACTGATATTTGTTTAGTGTGTCAACTTTTCATTCATTTTTATTCTTAATTTCCATTCAATTTCAGAAGAAAAAGAAAAGAAAAATTCCATACACAAATGAACCAAGTTCACAATCCAATCAGCTTAAATGAATCAGATACTAATGTAATTTTGTTCTAATCCAAAAGAATCCAGTAACCACTGTTTGATTGATCGTAAATATAGTTTGTTTGTTTTTTTGTTTACATATGATGTTATGATTTAGAAGAAAAAAACTATCATAGCCAAACAGAAATTGTTAAATCTGTATCATTCTAATGATGAAACCTGTTAGAGGATACATTGAAAGTCAGCTAGTTGTCGTATAAGTTGACATTAGTTCAAGATGTTATTCTATACCACCATGGTAAAATATCAGAATGGTTTAAGTGGTAACACTATGGGTGGTAGTATAAAAAAGTACGCACAAAATATATGATTCAAGAGGGAAATATGGACTCATCTTATAAATTTTTTAAAGCAACTAGGAAAGATAGAACCTAAGGGAAAATAAAAAGTAAACGCACATTAATCAGTTGGGATGATTTCGAGTCATGTCACATGAATTCTTGAACTATAGATCGCTGTTATCATGAGGACTCTAACCAGATAGCCTGTATCTATCAATGTGTCGGACCAACAGGGAATTAAGGTATCATTACTAAGGTTTGACTTGATAATCTGAATAAATTGAGCATTGGGTAGAATGGTATGTCATGTCATTCCGGAATGACATGATGTTAACGTAGTCAGACCTATTTTTTTATTGGTCGCACTAAATATTCTTACCTTGTTCATTTGTACTATCAAAACTCAGGTTAATTTAATGTTTATTTATTCTCTGAAGAAGTGACTTACATCAAATCACGAAAAATCGGGGAATTTAGGAATTCGATTTCTCTACTTATTGGAATATTACAAATATATTGTTTTTATTGACAGCAAGTAATGGCTCAATGAAATGATGACATTTCTTGGTTCAGACACTCCTGAATTTGTTTCAACTTACTTTCACACTACTGATTGTTATAACTTGTGGCCTGTGTGCCCTGTTAATGTATAACGTAATGATACCGTCAATTAGAGAGCAATGAAACATCGATTGGACCAATGACGCATAAAACACGTACGAGCAGTCTAGAGTACTTATCGGTCCTGCTTCTTGTCTAACCCAGTCTGTTAAGTCCAGAGCACCAATCTCAGCCTCTGCGATATGAATCATTTATTTCAAACATATTAGATTTATATAACATTTGTACAAGATTTAGCCAAATGTGGTTGTGAATGTGGCAGGTAGTTATTAATATACAGGGCATAACTCAAGAATGGTAAATCGTATAATAGTAGTTCATAGGTCAAGATAAAGCTCATAATAAGAGGGATATGAATATAAATAGTTTAGTTATTTAACAACTATACAATAAAAATATACGCATAGTATTGGTCCATAAATGGATCCCCAAATTACCATTCATTATGCTTATCGGGACATAACACCTCCCCTTTTTTGAAGATTCGGATATCAGTAAACATCACCTATCATCATAGACAATATAACTTTGGATATCGTTATGCTCCTAAGACCACATAGAAACAATTTCACGCTTTATCAACTTTTCCCTCAATCATTTAAAATTAGAATTGTATGTGTATTACGTAAAAGCTTGTCTTTAACAACCATTTTATCGATGTAAGTATACTAATGAATGCTTATACTTAGTGTTGGGGTCAACACAAAGAACTCATTTGCTCACTTTGTTTTCTTCATCTCTAGAAATATTCAGTTCATTAATACTATAGCAATTTTCTCACCTTTTGGCTCATTTAGTAATAAAATTAACTGTAAAACCAATTGTTATTTCTTGTAATGTACTTTACTTATGTTAAAACTGAAGAACCATTTGAAGAAGACAACATAAAGAATCACAATATTTGAAACTCTAAATAACACCTTATATCCAGTAACCTCTTTCCAAGATAATAAACTGTGTAGAAATTACACAAATATCATGAACTTCCAATGCGTTGACATCATAACGTCCATTAATGGAACGATTATTATTTCGTATGAGATGGTGGAGAAGATTTGTAGCTCAGGTGGATGATTTTGGTGGAGTTTTGTTCTCAGAGAACAAAACCCACCAGAACATTTAACTAAATCTGAGCTAAATATTAGACGTGAATTTACCAAACGGTAACACTGAAGTTACATTTCACCTATATGGTTATGTAATAGAAAAGATTCTGAAAAACGAACTTCTAGAACTTTGAGAAAAATACTGTATACTTCTGAAGTTCTTATTATTTTCTCCAGTTACCCTTTGATTCATTGGATGTGTGAAGGATAAGCTTCTGCTTTGGAATGCATATATATTTATAAGTTTACTTGCTCTTTTGGATCAGGTTATATTGATCTCATAAAGTGAACTCTCTCGAAACCCATTCCGAAGCATTATTCTGTTTGTTGATCAAAATGATTATTAAATTTATTTGGTAATTCGGTTATTGAACATCTCGTAAACAATAGTCATATTGCCATTCCCCCCCCCCCAGAACCCTCCTTTAAAGTCACCCATAAGGTCAAACAAAATGATATAAGGGGAATATGAGTTAGGAACTTACCTATCATAGAGGCCTTAGCAATCTAACGGTTCCAGACTAGTCTCTGTACACAAAAAACATGTTCAGTCCTGGATTTTATCGTCGGCTTAACCCCCTGCTTATCTTCCATACTCTGTTATTACTCATTCGTTATTTCCTTATAATCATTAATTAGCTGTTATTCCATTTATTTACTTTATTATTCATACTCATCAAATGAACAGTTATCTTTATAAAATGTCTTCATTTACATATTTTGTATTAACTGTTAGATCATTACACAAGTCCGTCCCTATATTTGATATTTCCAAATAACTTAAGATGCAATACTACTCCATATTCACATTTTCTTAATATTCACTAAGTTGATAATTATCTTTCATTTATAATTTTATTCACTTTGGTGTATCATGTAATTCCCTATTGCTTGATAACACTTTGAATTACCTTTTAAATGAAACAGGACCGAGATCGAAGGTCCTGGGTTCGAGTGTCGCATGCGGGGTCGTAGATGGGCAGCTCTAAGAAGTCCCATACCGGCACGAAACAGCCGTCCAGTGCTTCCAGGTTTCCACCGGTGGTCTAACATTGGCTGGTTCATGATTTAAATGAAATATTGACCTATTTTATTACAGACTTATGCGTGCTAATTAACTATAAGTACCGGCGTACAGCTTTAGTAAATGACATTGTTGAAACGAAACTTTTCTTTGATGAATCTTCATTTCCTTAGTAGCTCACTGATTAGATCGCATTGTTAAAGTTAGTCTCATGTTTCAAAATGAAAGAGAACGATAATTCACAACAGTGTTATCAGCAGTATGCAGTGAAACCAAGTTAGTCACTGACATGGCATTTCCTTCAAGAAACTAATATCTACGGCATAAGCATGAAAATGACATGAGGATATTGTTAAATTTCATAGTTAACATCATTGACTGATCTTAATTAGATAGGCAGTGGAAACTTAGGAAGTGCCGTATAACTGTTTTACCCTAATACAGGACACCTTACTAATACGTACTCATGACCTCACTAGGAATCGACCCCAGGGCTTTAACCTCCAGACCACAAAATCTGTACTCCATGTCTTACTCATCTAAACTTAATCAGTTCACAAAATTCCACAACCATCTTCAAATAACTTTGGAAAGTAACAGACTCATATGTGACATATCTGAACCTCACTGATCACGGTGTATTATATTAACTTGCTAGATTTTTTTTAAAAAAGGCGATATTTCACGTAACCCTTGATTTTCTTTTACTTTAATAAAGGCAAAAAAACAACAAAAGTTCTTCTAGAAAAATTATAATTGATGAAAATAACATATGAGATATAGTTTATTATTCCAAGTAAAAATGCTGAAATCAATGATAGAATTTAACTAAACAATTAGTTCACATGAAATATAGGAGAAAAAACCGTAGAGAAAGTAACTGAAAGAAATAACAGAAAGAAACACCCTTAGAAACGAGGAAAAAAAAAGCAAAAAAATACAAAGACACTACTACAAAAAAAAGGGAAAGAAATAAGCACATAAATTGTGAAGTGATGATATTTTTTTTTTGTTTCTTCTTCTTCTTCTTCATCATCAGAAAAATGCTTATTTATTATAAAACCTTAGACCAGAACAGCAATAGAAGAAAAAAAAGAATGAAACGAGTAAACAAACCAGAGTTTAAAAAACAAAAACAAAAAAAAAAGAAGTAAAAAGTGGAAATGATACGAAGTACACAATAATGAGAAGTTGTAAATAAAAAATTTTTCTTACAAAAATTCCAATAAACCAATATCAGAGAGAAAATACAAAATTATGTAAATGAATCAATGAGCATGTCAGAAAAATATTTTTTTTTTACTGTTTACTTCCCAGTGATGAAAAAAACAAACAATAAACAACAAAAAAAAAGTTTAAATTATCGATTTTTTCTTTTGTTTCTATGCTGATATGTTTACGGTTTTAATCTCAACGGAATCAAGATGTTTTTTTCTTAATAATACAATAATACTACTACCTTCCTATTCACTGATAAAGAAAAGTGTATATAGTTTACTAACAAAATACATATACATAGAATGAACTAATTTATTAGAAGAATTGTTGTTCACTACTTACTACTTACACAGTTTGCATTATTCTTTAATAGTAATAACGGAATGTTAATGAAAAGTATTTAAGATAAAAATACAACATTCTATACAATAGAATGTTTGTGGGGATAAGAGTAAAATACAAATGAGAACTGTAAATTGAACATAAAAGATATTTCTTTCGATATGTATAGAGAGGGTTAACTTTTGCACAGCCAACAATGAGAATACATTACCATTTGACAAATAATAATAATAATAATATGAGTTAGGAAATTCATCTCTTTTGTTGTATAGACAGTGAGAAGTTCAGCTGGCACTGATTCACAATTTGAATAAATAATTAATTTGATTCAAAAATTAACCTAAAATAGAGAATGTCTATTTAGTTTAAGGAGATTGTTAGATATGACATTAGATAAATGATGTAAAGATTTCATAATTAAAATGAAAGCTCAACACTACAATCATTCCTCGTTGGAACCCGGATAGCTGATAAGATGCAATAAGCTGTCTAGAATTTATCAACATCTTTCCAGTATATAACATCTTAGAAGAAAGTCACTGATGCACTCCGTTTTATGATATTTACCACATAATTACTTCTTCAGTAAAGGTATTCGTTCCATCAAATGGAAGACCCTATCTAACTTGACAATTACTAATATCACCTCGATATTGTACACTGATATTGTCTTAATTCAACCCACGATTAAATAGGATTCAAAGAAGATTATCAACTATCTATCAAACATGTGCTTAAATCCTAACACCTGATGATCCAAGTAACAATGCATATCATGAAAATATCTGACATATACACACCTGAAAACTCTTCCAAACTTAACAATAAGAACGGTAGGTAATGAGGATAGATTAACGTAATTGAATCTCAAGTGTATACAGCAGTTGAGTCATTAAGTAAGAGACTTTTATCTTGGGTTACATTATCAGGCACTGATTTAGCAAAAAGAGAATATTAACAGAATGGAGATTTGTGGAGGATGTAGCAATTTTAACAGTTGAATTCATGAGTCAATATAAGCTAGAACACCGTTGTAAACCTAGAAGCACTAGACGGGTACTTCGTCCTAGTATGAGACTCTGCGAGAGGCCGAGATCAGTAGAGTCCGATCCGTGTCAAATGGAGACAGTTATCCATCTCAGACAATGGATAAAGCGTTGCCCAAGATCATGGATTGATCAAAGTTAAATATTAATGCCGATGGATGTCGGCTTAGTGGTCTGGAGGTTAGACGTTCTCACGCAAGACCGAGGGTCCTGGATTTGAGTTCCATTGCACTGCTGAGGAGTCGCATGTTCAGATGAAACAGCCATCCATTGCTTCTAGGATCTCATTGGTGGCCTAGCTTAGATTGACTCATTGACTTAACAAAGAAAGTACACATATTTCTGAATAATTCATCTTTAATATTATTCACAAGGGCTTCAACAGGAAACCATGAACCTAAATTTTATGCTAGAAAGACGTACCTGTAATACTGAGTGAACTGATTCCCCCTGTAAGATTCCAACTAGGACTACCTAGTTCCAGCTTTAATATTTATTAGCAATAGTTTACGCGTTACAAAAAGAAATGTACTTTTGAGCAAAAACTAGGATTAAAACTGACATCAGGCAAGGAGGCGTAATTTTTAAAACTGCCTCTGTCGAGGATCAGAGTCTATGCTGTTACGAATAATCACATTGATATCGCATTCACAAACCACCCGCATCTCAAATGCGGTAGAAGCGATCTTATCTTTAATTTATGGATAGAGCATCATTAGATATATATAAATAACATTGTGAACCTTATTAAATCCATTGTCACTAGAAAATCAAAGCTCACAGCGTTAATTTCACTCAAGCGTATTATCTTCATATATATCTCATTCTATCATATTTGTATATCACATTGTTACCAACTAATATTCAGTAACTAATGTCACTATCAATCATTTTCGAGCACGTGATGCTTCATATCTTAGTTTTGCATAGTAGTTCCCAATTACTTGTATGAATCAGATACAATGCATTCATGATTGTAATTGTACTCTCATAACACTTTAAACGATCAATTTCTTTTTTTAGATACATTAGTTTATCCGTATAGGTTTCCCACAATTGTTTCCTTTGTTCTCGTTTCTATTATTAGCCGCCATTGTAGCATTGATACAGTTAGAGGACCGTTGTATCACTTATCGCATTTTATGTAAATAATTCCTATATAACTATTTTAGCAAGGATTTATTCTTTGATTATACATTGATTCGTGTAAACATTTATGACACCTCATGAACCAAAGCTTATAAATGTAATATATATAGTAATTTGTTTTAGACAAACCTCGTGATTTCTGCGCCCGACTCAATCATTTACTCAAAAGTATTGAACAACTTTAACACATTTTAAAACCTTTTAAACCAAAAATGTACAGTGTTAAGATGAGAAATAAAAGTGACATGTTAAGTCTATTTGTATCTTTTGTTTCTATCCTCCTTTCATTCAACTTATATTTTGTGTATTGACTTATACTACTTGGTAATATTCAGTAAGCATTTTAATTTCTAACAATTTCTAGGCGTGTAATGTAACGAATTTCTGTCTTGTATTGATATTCTACAATCTTTAGAGTAGTTATTATCATAATTAATTTCTCTTAACTCCTACAACAGTTACTCTCAGTTTTTTGCACTCCTTGGATCTTTGTTTAAACTTAGCAGTTTCCAGATTTGTATGTCCTTAGTTCTCATTTTTGATTGTCATTACGCAATGTGATCGCTAATTAGGTTGTTCTCTTCGCAGATATACAAACACGTTAGCCGCCACAGATGTCTCACGAGCTGAGTTTTGTAACGAATTTATATTTATTCCTCAACAAAAGGACCGTTCTTTAAAAGAAATTTTTTGTAATTCGGTTCCACGCATATCTCATTCATGTAGTTGGACTGTCCGATAGAATTAACGTAACGCGTACATACGTGTGAAAAATATTTGGTAGTTATTGAAACTTACATTTTGTTGATATGGTGATAGACCAGATTGAAATTGACCTTCGTTTCCTGTTAACTCTTTTATAATTGAATTATATCCACCACCTAATAGACCAATAGCCGCAGCAGCAGCCATTTGAGGTGGTAGACCAGTTGTAGCTGAAACGACATTAGCAAAACCTAATGGAGAATTCGGTGTATTGACACTTCCATGTTGATTCAAATGAACTGTAGCTAATGTCTATATTACATTTCAAGAAGAAAATACAATTTAGCTATCATTATTATCCTGATGTTTTCTAAGTTGAAATCTAGGTATACAATATATAGTAACATGTAAATTTTGAATGTAATTGAAAATATTTCTTTACTGGCTAGAATACAGAAAGTAATTTAATTACCATCAAAATAAGGCGCAATTATCATGAAACTGATCGATTATTTCACCTACATTTTTATCACCTTAAAAAAAACATTTACCATATAAGAAGTTTCGTCTAAATTTGATCGAATAGTTTCCTCAGTATTTGGGAGCCGAGTTGATGTGAGACATTAAAGAGGAAAAATGTATTTGTAAAATATCAGAGAATTAATTTGAAGTAAATCCAACGTTTTGCCTGACAATCTGGTCTAAGCTTTTTCAAAGAAATATAATCAAACATCGAATTTATCAAATATAAATAAGGACATCGTTCTTCAGTTCACTGTACGCTAAATAGGTCATTCAATCAACGATAACAATCTTTAAAGTAGGTATTTGCTTTAGTGTATAAGAGACATGTGGTGTGATACGAAAAGTGTTAAGAGAAGAGAATGTGAGTATACTTAAGTGAGAAGAAATCTCATTCACTGTATATTGTCTCTGGTCAGCGAATTTTAAGAAAACATACAATTTTCTTATGTGATATGAATCAACTATGTCACAGCATGCATAAAATGAAGATAAATAAACAAGATAAAGGAATGAATTCACTGAATTCATTCACACCACATACCTTTTACACACACACTAAAGCAAATACCTAATTTAAACATTATGAACATTGATTGAATGACCGACTTAGTATATAGTGAACCGGAGAACCATGGCTTTATGTATATTCGATAACTGATGTTTGGTAAAATGTCCTTGAAAAAGCTTGGACCAGATTACCAAGCGAAATGTTGGATTTACTTCCGATTCATTCACTGATAATTTACAAATACATTTTTCCTCATTAATGAATCATTTGCCAGTTTATGATTCAAAGTGAACAAACTTCAAAGATAATGCTTATCATTTATTTTTCTTTTTGGGAAATGAAACAGACCCATCATTTTCGAAGTAATCCATAATTATGGTTAACAGTAACCTTGAATAAGGCATAATCAAAATCTATAGGTGACTAAAATCTTTTGAACCACTTAAACTACTTAGTAAACGAATGTTGTTTGTTTCACCTGCACAACAGTTTTGCACTAATAACTTCAACTTTTTCTAGTAGTGACATTATATTTATTATGATTGACAACAGTTCACTTTGTATGCATCTTCTATCAGAAAAGAATTGGAAATATCTAGAGTGTAATGCATATTAATGATTAAAGAACACACAGAGCCTTAAAGAATAATGTCGTTTATCATACTCAGAACAAATTGATTTCAGAATGGGTTTTGTGGAGTTTTAGAAATTTCATAGGTTGAAATCATGAGTCAGTTGAAGCTAGACCACCATTGAAAACCTGGAAGCACTGGACGGCCGTTTCGTCCTAGTAGGGGACTCCTCAGCAGTGCTCGCGCGCGAAGCCAGTAGGTCCTGGGTTCGAGCCCCGCGTGGTGCGGGATCGTGGATGCGCACTGCTGAGGAGTCCCATACCAGGACGAAACGGCCGTCCAGTGCTTCCAGGTTTTCAATGGTGGTCTAGCTTCAACTGACTCATGATTTCAACCTGTGAAACAAATTGATTATTATTATTATTATTATTATTAATTAGTATTTAAAATGATTGACACTGGGTTCCAGTTACAATATTAACAATAACGTTAGACTGACAAGTCTTAAATTATACTGTCAATCAATATGGAAATCCTAAATAACTTTGATTCACATACTATATGGAGGCATTCGCTTAAAAAGCAGATACTCAAACTGAGAACTACAGAAATGCATAATTTATATTAATTGAATTCTTCATTTATAGTTCATTTTGAAAACTGTTATATTGTATACTAGGATTATAATTTATTTATTTATTTAAACACATAAACATTGATACAAGGAGGCACCGAATACATATGTACCAGATAAGTCATTCGATTTGTGTGAGGGCTGGCATACTACCCGAGTGCCCAGACTGAAGAAGGTGGTTTTCTTAGATGGCCCCACACCCGAAACCTTCGACACAAAGGTCTAATCCATAAGGCAGTGGAGCAACCTAAGGAGATGCAGTCCCATGGTAGCAGGTGACCAATAATGGGTTCACACGCCATTTGTTCCCTCGGGATCATGAAACCCATGTGTACCATTGGTTTGGAATCAGGGTTTTCCAACTCCCTTAGGTGGACTCTCCACGTCTACCAACCCGGTTAAAGTGCCGGACATTTGCTTTTCGTCCTTTCATTTTCGTAAACAACACCCATGGTGAGAGAAGGCAGTGAGTAGAACTTCACTGGTAGTGGTTGTATGAACGCGGCCATGTGAGAGAAATTCGAGAGGGAGAGCTGACTCTCCACACTTTCGGCCGTACCAGAGTATAACTAAACAGAGCGTTAAAATTATTTATTCGGTTTGTAGCATTTAAAATCTAGTTTTTAATCAACATGATGATTTGTATATTCATGATTGTTGCGAAATTAGGAAAACAACTTAATTTCAATCATTTCATTATTGGTAAATTCAACATATTCTCTACATGAAAGCAATAAATTAATGATCTTGATAAATATAGTGTAAATACAAATAGAGTTTATAAACGCAGTCACATTCTATATCGATTTACCTGACTTTGTTGTTGTTGTTGTTGTAATTGTGCCATAAATGAGGCAACATTCGATGCATTTGACTGATGACTAGGAAAATAATTATTTCTTAAGTGAGAATTTGTACTATGAGACAATGCAGAAACAGCAGCTGGAGATGATCCTGTTCCACTATTAGGACTTGGAGAATTTGATGTACCTGTATTACAAAATGATACTTGTGTATTGTTTTGTTGTGATAAATTAGCAAGTGTAGAAGGTGAACAAACTGTACCACCACTGATAGAAGATGCATTTGCAGAACATAAAGCTGCAGCTACGTTAGCATGAGCAATAGCAGCTTGAACCATTTGTAGACTGGGAATAGATGATGGATTAGCAGTTTGCATACCGTACGTACCAGTGTTCATACTTCCAGGGACTAAAGTCTATCAAGTATACAGTTGAATAGATAAATAATGTATGTATATATATAATTTTTATGAAAAAAATATCGTATAGAAAAACGTGCATGAAAAAGCAAATCCGATGAAATACTTCCTCAAAAAAAGAATTGGCTCAGTACTGCTTCCAAAAAGCATAGCATACGTAAACATTGTTCGAGCCAGTAGGGGAGAAGAAATATTTTCACCATATTCATCATTTTCAAATCACTCAGAGTATTTTGAATAAAACACTAAAAATACAAAACTTTCAGAATTTCCTTCCAGTATCTAATCCTCTTGTGTGAAGTAGAAACTTTGATAAATCGGACAATCGGACGTATGTACTGTTGTGAAGGTTCACACTAGTATCGTAAAACTCACCAGCATTCTCTGATTTCAAAACGATAACACAATGGATATCAACTAGTGGTGGAAAACACTTACAAACTACTTAAATTCTAAAAAAGTGAAAATACCTGAAAATTAAACAAACCATATTCAAAAAATAAAACCTTCAAGATGTTTAATATTTTAATAAATATGAGAGTTGTGTTCTGTTTTATTTTATTTATTCTAACACATAGATATTGGTACAAGGAGGCACCAAATAGATATGCGCCACACAAATCTCATTTGATTTGTGTGAGGGCTGTGATACTGACCGGGTGCCCAAACCGAAACAGGTGGTTTTATTCGGGGGCCACACCCGGAGCCTTCGACCTGAAGGTCTGATCCACAATGCAGTGGAGCATCGTAAAGAGATGCCGTCTCATGGTAGCCGGTGACCAAGGATTGGTTCATACGCCATTTGTTCCTTCAGGATACTGGAGCCCATGTGCACCATTGGTTTGGAATCAGGGTTTTCCAACTCTCCTAGGTGGACTCTCCATGTCCACCGACCCGGTTAAAGCGCCGGACACTCGCTTGAAACCCAAGAATAACATGATCCATTCTCATTGCGTCATTCGAGATTTAGTTTCAAAAAAGAACCAGTATCATTAGACGATCAATAAACGTGACTGACATAAAACTACTTTGATGAATTGTAGTCACATTTCTTTTATAGGTACAGAAGTTATTTTAAAAAATACTTTCGATTTTGTCACTTTCTTTATATACGAAAAAAAGTTTCATATTTTAATCTTTGAGGAACGTAGGAAAACGTAAAACACTACGGAAGACATTTTCGCAGTGAAAAAGTTGCAGTCAAACAAATGTTATCAAATCTCAATCAATTCTCTTTAAATATAAGTCATGGGATTTTATACTGAATACATTGAAAACTTGTTAGATAGTATTTTATTTCGGTGAAGTTTTGTTCTCTGAGCTGGATGGTTTGGTTGTGTGTTCTCTGAGCTCGATGGTTTGGTCGTGATGTTCTCTGAGCTAGATGGTTTGGTCAAACTGCACCAAAATCATCAACCTGAGCTACAAATCTTCTCCATAATCTGAAAATTAGTATTTCATTTCTTTGAAATTCTACTGGTACAAACACATACTGGATGAGCTATCACTTACATCGTATAAACATTTCAACATTTTCTTAAATGAATTTTAACACGGTAAAGATGTTTAGCTATAGAGCATATCATTTCAATGTTCTCCACACTTTGTTTCAACCCCAACTCAATTGTGTTAACTAAATCATAACCCTTAAATAGAATAGACTTGATTATTAAAGTGAAGTTTGCAAAACTATTTAGTCGCTGAATTCAAACCACAAAATTTAAATTAATGAATCTAGTATCTCCAATTACCTGCGTTGTTAGTGGTCAGGCTTCATCTCTACATCTGTCAAGGAGTCATTTTCAAACTTCATTCTAATCAGATTGTCTAGTACTTCAAGATGAACTACGGTCTATACCTGACCTTTTTTCTAATCATTTGTATTTATCAATTACAATTACATAGAACAGTATTTCTCGCTTAATGATAGTTGACTTACAAACGATTTAAGCTACCTTTTAGTAGAATGTGAGAATTTCTACTTGATAACCATTTTATATAATTACAGTCAACACTTCGATTTTCTAAGGATTTACACTGAATTGTACATTTGTGTATTACATACGTGATTTAAGCCGATTAATTAAACTTTTAATCAGAAGCTCAAATAAATCTAATTAGTTTGAATAATAACACATAAAAACAAAGTTGTTCGTTACGGTATGTGGCTGTGCTTTGATAACTAATCACCCTCGAACCGTTATCGTATAATCTTCAACGATGTTTGAAATCAGAAGGCAAAAAGAAGCAGCTACTACAGTTTATTTAGTAGATAATTCGGACCAGACAGCAGAGAGGCAAAATGAATGAGAAAGCGAACTACGATTGTAACAGTAGCAAGTAGTAGTTGTAGTTGTAGTTGTAGTAGTGAATGGGTGCAAATGTACACATATATATATGTATATGTATAGGAAAATGGATGAGTCAGCGAATAGACTAAGCAGTTAATAATGAAGCTAGCAGAATGAATACATGCGTAGGCGCTAAACAATGTTCAAGCATATGTATTTCATACAAGCATAATAATAAAGACAGTACAACAAGTTGTTATATCATGGATGACTTTGTCCATTAAATAGGTCAACAAAAGACATTGACTGAACTAAACTCAATTGCACGTGAGTCACTATACGGTATTATAAGAGTTAATTCTGTTTATATGTTATCTACGTTTCCTTATTCGATCTCTATTTGTTATTACATTATGTTACTAATTAATATTCAGTAACTAATGTCATTATCAATCATTTTCGAAGATGTTGCGTTTCATATCATTTATTTAATAGTATAGGGGTTGTGGAGATTATTAAGTTTTCGATTGAGATCATGAACCGATTGATGTTAGACCATCACAATTGAAAACCTGGAAGCACTGGGTTCCGGCTCAGTGGTCCAGTTGGTTAAGCGTTCGTGCGCGAGACCGAAGGCCCTGAATTCGAATCCCGCTCGCGGGATCGTGGATGCGCACTGCTGAGGAGTCCCACAATAGGACGAAACGGCCGTCCAGTGCTTCCAGGTTTTCAATTGTGATGGTCTAACATCAATCGGTTCATGATCTCTATCATTTATTTGTTGTATGGTATTATCTAAGTTATTACATGAATGAGTAACAAATCATATATTTATTATCGTAGTTATACTCTCTTAACATTTGTAATCGCCGAAATTTGTTTGTCTTGATGAGGACGTTTCAGGGACTCAATGATATCACTTACCAGAGTTACACAATCATACTTATAGTTATTTTTTACATCTAATAGTCTGTCATAAAGACAAGGAATTATTGACTTATTAACAGGGAGGTACTAAAAGTCAGTCAGGATCTAAGATTGTATAATGGTCAAAAGGAGATAAGAATGAAATAATATAAGTTTCTTGTTCAGCTTCCCAAAAAAACCAGTTCGTCTTACTCTTTGAAGAATCTTTTAAAGATTCTCATGGAGACAGATGACTAGAACCGATTAGATATTCAACAATCGAGTCATCGACTGATTTAAAATCGCCTTTTGGTGGCCGTGATGGATAACGACCGGTTATGTATTTGGAAAGAGTATACTTTGCGCGACAAGCATAACATGCTCCTCAAAAGCAAATAAAATCGTTCGAAGAGATAGTTTGTCCTCAAAAAACATTTTAGTATCAGTCACCTGGCGGAAAATACAATTTGCAGATCAATTAATAAAATTTCTTCAAGCAGTTAGACAATCAATTTCGTAAGATTTCTGCGGCTGTATCTCCTTTAAACTAAACGTTCATCAGAAAAATCTCCCGTACAGTAGATGTTGTTTCAGTTAACTGTTTTGGCTTCAACCTACTAATAATTATTGTATCGTTTAATTTCAGGATTTCCACGCGTCACTCAATTGTTTGGTAAGAAACATCAGGTGAATTTAATAATAGTCCTTTTAATGTGAATTTGATATACTCAAAACTGAACGTCGGCATACTATATAAAATTACAGGGAAATCGCTATACACATAATAATTCTTTTCCCAATAGTTATCTGACTATTACTGAATTACACCTAGCAATCTTTGTTGAAATAATGAACTTATCAGTATTAGATTTAAATACAAAATCATTTATTTAAATCACTGACGAACAAACAGTAGCAACATTAGATTTGTTAAAATCTAGAATTGATAAACTGAATAGTTTTCTTTGAACAAAATGATTACAATTTATTAAGACAAGATTAAATGAAAGTAAACTTACACGAAAGTTATTTGCTTGAACTAAACCAGCTGCTGAAGACAAATAAGCTGTATTTTCGTAGGCTGAAGCAAGTGACGGTAAGCCAGGGATTGTAGCCCATTGAGCGGCAGCTGCGGCGGCCGCAGCCGCTGCCATCGCTGTAGAAGCATCTGTCGCCGTAGCGAATATCCCATTGGATGTCTCAACTGGAAATAAAGGAGTAAAATACTCAGTAAAAAGAAACCTAAATTGAGGTTTGTCAATCGAAGAATATTATTAGTAGAGCTGTAAATCCCAGGTGTCACAGTTTAAAGTATCATTAGGTAACACTAGTTCTCCAAATATCCTAAGGTCTCTTGTTAACAAGTGTCAACTAGCGTGACGTCCACGTTCGAATTGCCTCTAATTACAAAACGTTAAAATATAGTTGAACACCAAACTGTATCGGATATTCATTACAACACTAATCAGGATGTAAAAGGTAAACTTAGTAACGATTTAGTCTTACTAGTTTGTCACCATATTAGCTAAGTTCTGAAGCTTATGATGTTAGATTTTACTCATTGTTCAGTCGCTCCAGTATTACCGGTCATATTTAGTGGCACAATATGTCAATAATTTTCACCAAGCCCTAGGACCGATTGAAAGTAGAGAGAAGCATTAATTCTAAGAAAATGTGGTATCCAACGAAAAACAACTCAACCCAGTTAGTATTTGTTGATTTACTACAATTATTTGATGGTTTTAAATTCAACACACTGGTGGCGTTCCTACAGACTTTTCCCATATTTCCAATAAACAAGATTTCCTTTGCAAGAAATGTTTTCCAACTTTTACTATTAAAGAAGCTGTATCTAATACAAATATAACTATTGATGATTTCTTCTACTCTACATCTTTATATTGTCCTCATCCTTTTGTAACGTAACTTTCGATTTATACGGTACAAAGTTTTGTCAGAATGAGTTTTGTGGAGATTTTTAGGAAATTTCACAGGTTGAAATCATGAGTCAGTTGAAGCTAGACCACCATTGAAAACCTGGAAGCACTGGACGGCCGTTTCGTCCTAGTATGGGACTCCTCAGCAGTCTAGCTTTACCTGACTCATGATTTCAACCTGTGAAATTTCCTAAAAATCTCCACAAAACTCATTCTGATAATAATCAACTGCTCACTAGTGACTGAATTCAGGAGAACCTCCTGGAGTTCTAGTGAGAAGCCGTTACCAGTGGAGTTCAACCAGGTCTGTTGTGAGATATCAGCTCACTGAAGACAATGGTGTTCGGTGGCGCAACTTCGTAGATTGGTTGAAGTTAGACATTAACACCGTTGGATGCCGACTCAGTGGTCTAATGGTCAAGTGCTCGCGCGCGAAGCCAGTAGGTCTTGGGTTCGGATCCCGCGGGGGCGGGTTCGTGGATGCGCATTGCTGAGGAGTCCCGTACTAGGACGAAACGGCCGTCCAGTGCTTCCAGGTTTTCAATGGTGGTCTAGCTTCAACTGACTCATGATTTCAACCTGTGACAAAGTTTTGTGTTGAAAATAATATCCGACAAAAACGTTGGTGGTACAAAACAATGTTTAGAGAATGGTATAAAAATATTGACCTAAATAAATATTTCAACTGTAAACGAGTGAAACATTTGTACAATTGCACTTCTATCTATTAGTCCCCTTCGGGTAGATACAAAAAAAACCTACTAGTTGGTCCTGTAGCTGCCAATTGAGCAAATATTGATGGTTGTAAATTAGCAACCATACCACTGATATTACCAGTTGAAATCATATTTGTTGGACAAGTACCCAGATTCGACAAAGAATTATGTTGATTTACTCCATTCTGATGTGGATTATTCACACCTATATTACCAAAACCAACAGGAATTGTTGTCTTAGGTTTGGTAACTTTAGTATTACTACGGGCAAACTCTAAACGCATATGTTGATTGCCATCTGGATCGAATTTCACACCCTAAGAATAATGAAAATTAGAAGAAAAAAAACTTGATAAAATCACTTTTCTAAACAATTCGATTATGACATTAATTTGTTTCTACATAAAACAGAAACCAGATGAAATTATTTATGATTCAATAAAGTCGGCTTCAAAAATCATTCCATGTTTTTCTCATCACTTAAGTAAATATGTTATGATATTCATCAGTATGAACTTGTCTACAGTTCAGTAGCGAACATTCAGTAGATGATGAAATAAAGCTTATTCCTATTTCTTCTATTTCTTGAACATGTGACTTAAGTCATCTGCCTATCAAACAATGATTTTTTTACTGCTGAATATTTTGCTTTTGACATTTAACCGTTTTCGAAAGTAGACGTCTTATGTAATTTATTAGAAATCAATAAAAAATGTATTCGATGCATTGCATCTATATGGTCGAACTATCGAGTGAGGCATGGAGCGATAATTTACGTTCAATAATCGGTATTCGCTATCAAATTGAGATACAAGATCTGCTGAATTTTGTATAATATGCATTAATACATCAATGTACACTTAGTTACTCCACAATCTCACATTATTTATTGGACAGCAGTTACATTTTTCATGGCAGTTGTAAATTACAGCATTAAAGTAACAACGATATTATTTCTAGGTTGTAAGATTATTTAACAAAATATGAGTTGCCTTGAAAACATTTTGTACACTAAATTTATCAGTAGTTTCGACAGAACAGTGAGAAGGTTATGAGAGCAAATTCAAGATTACGACAAACTGTTTCTGTACACATAAAGAGAGTTTGAATTTACGGATAGCCAAGCATTCTATACACTGCTAAGGTGTCCCATACTAGGACCAAACGGCCATCCAGCGACTGCAAGTTTTAAATGGTTGTCAAAATTTCAATGAAATTTAACAATCATAACAACCCTATACTGACTACTTCACTTTTTTTCTGCTAGATGTTTCATGTTTGTAAACTATCAAAAGTGACTATCTCATTATCCTTAACTGCTCTCTAAACGATTCAATCCCATGTCTGAGATTTTATATTTTTAGTTATACAGGATGCGACCGACTGGAAGGTTTTTTAGTATTGATTGATCACTGAATAGTAACCGATGTCATGTTTGTCTAATCCTTTAGTGTTGGTCAAACTCTATCTATCAATCCCAATTGACCAAATAGCTCAATGGTAACGTTTCTGTCCGTGAAGTTTGGTGACCCGATTTAAAATACCACAAAGAGTATTAGTTTTCTCAAGACTACAGGTGCATCTTTCTTGTCAACTGTTGACTAGCACAAGACGTGGGTCGAGCAGAATTTTCCGTAAACGTCCTCCAACAATTAATCATCTCAACATAATCCACACGACGTTCAATTACATATAAACTAGTGATCGCATCTCATCTTTATCGATTTCTATCGATCAACACTAAAGAACTAGATAAACATAATAGTGGACACTAGTCAATGATTAATCGATTACAAAGATCTTCATTATGAAACATGCTAACAACCAATTGAGAAAACTAAGAAAAAACCGACCAAATCAATAGGATCAAGTTACCGTATCAACAAGAACATTTCGCTATACCTAAATGAATATGTAGATGAGTGTATTGGTGTGTGTAAGTATGTATTTATATGTGTGTGTTGGTGATTATTACCTTTATATTCAATAAGCGGTTTGTACACATGTAAATGTGCGCGTGTGTGTTTCTATAACTTTTTTTTTCTAATATCCATGTATTTTATATCAAATAAATGTTTGTGTTTTTTTTGAGTAGTAATAAAAAACAGTGGTAGAACTACACAAAAACATACAACTCTAATTGACTACAACGATTCTATTATACAATATGGTATATATGTGCATATATATATATACATGAAACATGGTGTCAATGAACTAAACAAATAAAAATCAATAAAATAATCAAACGTTAAACAAACATTATTGGTTCAATCGAAATAATTCGTATTAATTAAATTAATTATTTGTTTGCTGGTTTTTTTTTTAATAAAAAAAAAAACTGACGACAAATTTGGACATTTATGTAACCTAATGAGTTAGAAAGAAGTTCCAATTATAATTTAGTGTTACATTGAAGCAACCCTTAATTTGGAGTCATCAAGATAAAAGGAAAAGAGGTATCTCAAATAACTGAAAAGGAGAGCTCAGAACAGAATTGACTAAAGATCCCTAGTCGGTGGTCTATGTCTCACAAGAGGTATCAGGCTTAAGTAATTATGTCATTGAAAAAGAAATATTATTAAACAACATACAGATTGATAGAGTGAGAAACCTATAACTTTCAATAGTAGATCGACAGCTCAAATGACAAGGAAGTGAATCATATCAGGATCAACAATTCATTGAGATTCGATTAAATTTTAAATCATGATTTAAATTTCAGTGGATGAAGTTTCTGACCGAATGAGATACTAAGTTTACATGTTAAATAAGATTATTCTAATTTGTAAAGGCTTGTATAGTCCCGTTGTTGACGTTGAGGACTGAAAATAATCGATCTGTCTTGCCACACAGGCATCCTAAAAAAATGACTTTAATAATGTCATTTATTTAAGAGCAAGCCAATCAGAATGTAAATAATCCAGAAGAGATTGATTAATTACAGTGTTGAGAATCAACAACGAGAAGATCTAAATCCTTACAAATAAAATTCACATCCGTCGAAAAGGCTTGTGGTTATTTGAACTCAATAGCTGAGCTAATAATGTGTTGGAGTTTGAAGCTTGAACAACACTGCGATGCAGGTATATCCAGAATGAATTTCGGTATTACTAATTATTTCAAGAAATTCACGCCACACGCTTAACTCTACAACTAATAGTTGTATCTGACTATTAAAAACCATAATAAGTGAAGTAAATATGAATTCCGTGACTAGTAGTCTAAAAGTCAATTTCAGTTCACGGATAATTGACTGATTTACTGTCGTTGTTTGGCCTCTCTCGCGCAATGACTTCGCCTTTCATTAAATACGATCCCCCTGCTCGTTCTATGATAATCATAAGAATTTCTTTGCTTTTTTATGTACTGGTATAATCATAGAATCTGATCAGTTTGATAAGATTTTATACAGCTAAATAGTAATCCTGAACCAGTATCTGTAAAAAATTTACTAAGGACTAACAACTGTAATGAACGAGAACACAAGTGGGGACAATCGGATGTATTTCAGAACAAAATTATGGAACATCTTAGTAAAATCTGAGAACCATACAGCAAATACTTCATTTGCAAAATGTCAATCTATTGTCTCAAACTTGACTGTTCCTTCTGTAAAGTGAGGATCAATCGTCTCGGATTTCATTGGTCTTTCGTTTCCACACCAATCATTCTCTGTTTTCGTTCTCTTTCTTTCGATCTTCTTAACCTTCTGCCGCCAGACATTTCACTTTCGATTGATGACACATACTACTTATATCTGTCGACATCAGTAGTACAAACCACACAACTAAGCTTTAAGTACAATATTTTTATTTCAAATATTGACGTCTTTTCTTTATATGGTGTAAGTATATACCGAAAAAATACAGAAAAATCACTGAGTAGAAGAACAATAGAAGTCATTTTGCCTATTAAACTCCAGTACTTGATCATGTGTACTTACATGTATGATGTTATTGTGTCCTTTTCTATGTATAACTGATTTGTATTTCTGAATTTTTCATGTTAACCATGAAAAATCATAACCAATACGTAGTCATAATTGTTGTAACGGGTGTGACTGCAGGTTAGATGCGCAGCGTTTATATCGACCGATTACAGTGACACGGAAAACACGTAGTGACGACGTAGTGTCCTGATTGGTCCCACTTCCCTGTCTAGCCCAGCCAGTTGAGTCTAGAACGCGAGTCACAGCCTCTGAGTTATGAATCGTTATATTTCAGACATACTCTATTTATATACCAAACAAACAAACCATATCGTACCATAAAATAGAAAACAACATTTACACAATATTTAACAAATGAAACAAATATCGACCAATAGGGAGTGTACTTTTAAGGTCCAAGGCCAACATAGACTTAACACAATAATTATTGGTATATTTTTCCGACTATCCTAACAATAATGATTATTAATGAGTTATAATGAAGAACTTCATGCTACAAACTTGTTAAGGCACCTTCCTCGGTTAGGCAATCGGGCAGTATTGCAGCCCTCACACAAATCATTCGATTTTTGTGGTGAATAGGTATTTGGTACCTCCTTGTACCAATGTTTATGTGTTTAAATAAATAAATAAATGGAGAAAAACGAAATAAACGATTAAATATTTTTGTTTAGACGTTACCTGAAGTTTTGCCATTGCTTCCTCAGCTTGTTCTCGTGATTCGAAAGTTACAAAACCTACGGGCTACAATTTAAAGAGAAAATTGACAATTTGGAATAGTAATCACAATGAAAATGAATGAAAAATAAAACAATTTCCGATAGGAAAATCTCGAAATGTCGAACGTTTACAAATGATTCGACCCTTACTAGTACGAGGGATTTGACGAGGTTTCAGGATTTTATAGTCTATAGCGTGGACTAGTTTCGTTAGACAGCAATTGAAAACGGGCAAACAATGGACGGTTGTATCGTTTTAGCATGGGATCCCTCAGGAGTGTACATTCACGACCACATCAAGAGCAGAACACAGACCCTCCAGGTCTAGAGACGGACACTTAACCTTTAGACCACTGAGTCGGCATTCAATAATTTATATTTCTAGCTTCCGTCAGTTTGTTATGTGAACTAATGCTCCAATAACATCCAAAAATTCCTCATGTCGATAATAATCACGTGCTTACTAACGACGAATTTTGAAAGATAATTCTGACAGTTAGAATATGAATCCGTCAGCTGTGGAGTTCAGCCATGTCGAATGTGAGACACTAACCACTGAAAGGCGGTTGCACAGTATTGTGAATTGATTGAAACTAGGAGTGTAAAATATTGGTTGCTAGTTGAGTCGAATAAATGTTAAGAGCTCACTGCGATACCTGAATTTCCTGAGTACTATCTTCGTTGCGATTACGAATGCGAACCTCTGAAAAGTCCCGTATCAGGACAAAACGAATCTTTAGTGTATCATGGTTATCAACGTTTGTCTGATTGCGATCAACTCGTGATGTACATTTAGAGATGAAACATTTATTAGCTATTTTCACATGGTAGATTCAAAGCCAATTGCATTAAGAGGAAACACAAAGTAACCAATGTGAAAGAATCCATGGATTTTTCTAATTTCTACCCAGTCTATCTGTTTGGAAATTTCTAAATGATCATCAATGATAAAATTCTAACCAACTTTGAACGTAATTTTACAGGATAATCATATTTGAAAGTGTAGAACTACATTAGTTGAGTATCGATTGTTTCAGGTTTGGGAAATCTATGTTTCAATATGTATTCTGAGTATAAAAAAAGCACTATTATTTAAAAAATTTAGACTGATGAAAAAGCTAACTGACATAATTTATCTTAGATCTGAAGGGAATTCATTGAAAATGTTACAACGGAGTTTTTAATTATTGATGATTAGTTGTCTACTTTTTACCGCAATCTCTTTCACGTTTGGCTTGATTATGTATCAAGTATAAATTTTTAATTGAGGTGTACTACAGTCTGATTATTCATGTACATAGACACATGAGTGTTTGAAGTATTACCATAAATTTACCTACTTCTGTGTTCGCTTATTACAATCAACACAGTGATTTAGAATAAAAGCATGAATCAGAATCAATAGTCATTATATTATCTCGTTATGTCTGTAGATCAATCGTTCCAAGGCGGAGCGCGTAATTCGTCAAAAATAAGGATATTGGCCTGTACGAGAAAAACGTATACACGAGGTAGAAATTATAATCTGGATTCTGATTGATGAATTTGGTCTAGTGATCGAATAAGTTGCGCATAGGAAACATTAAAGATGACGACAAAAAATTAGTATAATGAGGACTTATGGAGATTGTAGAATTTTGACAGTTAGACCCACTAAACGATCTTAGTTAAACTATCAATAAAAACGGAGCGGCACTGGACAGCTGTTTCATCCTATGGTATGGTATATTCCAGTAGTGTACATCCACAAGCCTAACCGGTGATCAAACCCAGGATTTCCGGCTTCACAAGTGAACACTTAACCTTTAAACCACTGAGCTGGAATCCGATGGTGTATATGTTGTTTATCACACTATGAGATTATAATATTAATAATTTGGAATCTTAAAATTCATTATGCAACAGGATTAAGTAACCAAATACTGGCTAAATAATTCTTTTATAAATATGTAAGAACTTTTTCATTTATAATATTCCATGCTACGATACATAAATATTTAATCCTTAGATAAAATAATAATGAGGTTTATTAGTAAACCCGTCTCAGATTATCTGATAGTGAGATTATATTCATGGTATTGCCAATAAACGAATTAAGTTAAGTGTTGTTGAAAGGACTCTGCTCACCATCGATTCATTTAATCGATTTATCAATCCCACGAAGATCTATGACTGAGTACTTTTAAGAAATCTTAAAGAAGATTAGACAAATAACAAATATCAATATCCAGTGAAAAGGTCTAAACATCGTTCTAAACAAAAATAAGGATTCACAAATTTTCTAGTAAACTAGACTAAGGTGCATGCTGGGGGAATAAACACTAAACATATCAGAAATAACTGATAACTACTTGCTTTCCAAATAATGTAATTTACTAGACGTAACTGCCAGTGAAATGTAACGAAAATTTTAATATAACACCAACTGAACAATTGATTAGAAATATGATTGTCTAAGGTTTATTTGTAAAGACATAATTAGGAGTCGAATTTTATTATTGGGTCACCAGTATGGGCATTTAGGCTTTGATCACAAAAACCTTCGAATATTATCATCAAAATAATCTCAGATTTATCAAACATAACTGTGATGACGGACCACCGGTGAACTCGAGGAAGCTGTAAGAGGCTCATAAGGAGCCGAAGACGTTCCATCCAATCACCTTTCGGAAGAATGTTCTAGAATTCCAACGTGTAGCTTCCCCATTGGATAATGCTAATAACCCCCTGTACGCGGACTGGAAGACTGTAATGATGATTTCGTTCTCACTAAAAACTATAAATACCTGACAATTTTGTACTATGTTTGACACTGTTTGGAATAATATTCCTTTCGTTAGTCTTCTGTCTTCTTATTGCGACTTGGAAGGGTTTGGTGTTCTAGTGCTCAGTTATACGCGGTTGTATCAAGAAAAATCAGCTTTTTCAAGTTATAACATCTGGCGACGGGTTATTGTATCAATATGTCATTTACCTTGGAAAAATATACCAATAATTATCGTGTTAAATCTACGGCGGCCTTGAACCTTAAATGTACATTTCTTATTGGTCGATGTTTATTTCACTTGTTAAATATTGTACAAATGTTGTTTCCTATTTTATGGTACGATGTGGTTTGTTTGCTTGGTATATAAATAGAGTATGTTTGAAATACAATGATTCATAACTCCGAGGCTGTGACTTGTGTTCTTGACTCAACTGGCTAGGACAGACAGCGAAGCAGGGCCAATCAGAGCACTAGGTCGTCCTTACATGTTTACGTGTCCACTGTCACAGGAGCGATCGATATAAACGCTGCGTATCTAAAACCCTGCAGTCACACGCGTTACAACAATAACAAACTTAAGAACTGCCAAAATTAAATATACCACCATCTGAATCTAATTTATTTTTTCAACACTATAAAGGGGTGGAAATATTCATAATCAATAAAGACCGACTTACTGCTGTGAGTTTTCCATTCTTTCCAGCCGGTTTAAGTGTTGAAGACAAATATCCCTGAATGACATTACAATATTAATAGTTTGCGATTTCAATAATTTTGACATTGTTGATTCCAACAATAAAATATCAGCAAAGATAACAGGCGTAAAATTGTGCAACATTATTGGAGATTGTGCAATGTAATAATAACAACCCATTTTTAGCGAAGGATATTATGGTAAAACCAAATAGGTGAAATAATTTTAATATAAAGTGAGTTTAATGAATGAAATATAAGTGATTGGATGAATGTATACGAAAGGCAAGTAGACATATGTAATTACATGTGCAGCAACAAACGATGATATATCCATAAATGTATTTGATTGTTGTTGAAATCAGATGATATTTACAGGGGAGAAAAATGGAGAAAAAAAAATAGGAAACAAGTGAGTAGAAATTATGTGCATTACTGTTTGGTGCAATATTAAAAGACAGTTTATTTTAAGAGGAATATAAAAGATGTACTCTAAGGATTGTTTTGCAAATTGGTAAACATTGTTAGCATACGTTGAATAAAACTAAAATGGGACACAGGCTACTACTTTTTAAATGAAAGTTAATTATCAAGGGAAAATATGTGCAGAAAGAATTAAAAAACAGTTACAAACTGAAATAATTGCATTCATTATCTGTACGATCTCAACAGTTGAAGTGAATACAAATGCCTGACTGAATAAAACGTCATTACTAAACTGTAGAGTGAGGTAAATTGATCAGACATAATTAGCTTAGTTTCAGAGGAAACCAGTTACTTTGATTTGGGTTATCTATAATGTTTCATAAGATACGATCCCAAACTATTTTAAAAGGAACAATAATTATTTGTCACTAAACATTTTTGAGATGCTACTACTTGGATTTGTAACAGTTTATCATTCTATTTATACGTTCCCTGTAACGATTATCTTTGAAATCTAAACAATATGAACATACTACGAATGAGTCAGTTACTGGTTCCATGAACAGTAAAAACAGCTTGAGTAGTGGCAGATTTTGGTAACATTTAGGAAATTGTGTTGAAGCTAAATTCGATAGATTGGATCCTGAACCAAAACACGTATTTATCATTAAAGAAAGAGAGGACATTAATAAGGAAACGATATCTGAAAAAATCTCAACCATTAAAATCAAAATAACTTCAACATTTCGTACGGCAATCTTGTTCAATTATCTCATTTTGCTAATGATTTAAAAGGTTTTTCAGAAGCCTCTAGTGGGTTAAGAACAGTCGAAAAGTTACAGATAAGCTTGTTTAATATGCATAAATTAACCTTGAATTAGAACTTCTATTCTTACTGCGCGTCTGTTCTCTAATGTTCAGAGCTTAAGTGTACGAGTATTCAAGGATTCTACAAACCAGATAGAACGTTAGTATCAAGCGTTCAAGCAGCAAACCTATCAGAAAGAGGTAGATAAAGATTTGTGATATAATCAAGATTTTATGAAAACTAGATGGATCCAAATCAACTGATGACCTTTTCTTTACTAGTTGTAATCTCCTCAAACAATACTTTTTAAAAATATGGCATGAAAGTAATAAACTTACAAATAATTAAAACCAAAAATCTATGATTCCTTTAATACTTATACCATTCAATATTGTCAATACTATAAGAATGTTCTAAAATTTGATGCGTAAAGCTGGTTGATGCTACTAAATATCAGAGAATGTTTGTTAGATAATGTTCATGAAGTTATAATAGCATATCCTCCTTACTTGAAAGATAAGTTTCCCTAAAATGTGTTGTGATCCATTAGGAATTTGATTTTAAATCTCAGTGAGTTGTTATTTTATATAACAGCTTTGTAAAAAAAAGATTGTTCATAAATCGAAGAAACACTTTATTCGTGATAATTGAAACCAACTATAAGTACTTGAAAACTTTAAGGTAGTGAGTATACAAATAGTGAAATATTTTCAATCAGACAAAACCACAATTCCCTTTACAAGAGGAAAAATTATCACTGAAAAAAATTGGAATAAATCTCTGTAGTCCCAAGAACACTAAAACAGCAATAATCTGATGTGTGAAAACTGACTGAATTTGTCTTTCTTTTGAACTCACCACATAATAATTTGTGAAGTACCGGATTACTTCCAGACTGAAAATTCTGTAATTTAACTCCACTAAAATAACGCCCGTTTCACCGAACACTTCCTAGTTCATTTTTAAATGAGTAATGATAAATGGGATGTAAGATGCTTGGGGGTAGTCAACAAGAAACTTTGGACGTTGGTTTCGTGTTATTCGACAGTCATGAGCAAAGTTTACCTATATCTTTGAAGGAACTGACCTCACCTAGCGGATTCGACCCAGTGTCACTCAGCTTCATAAACACACTTCCCTCATATAAGTCATTCGTGACGCAAATAAATATTCTATACTAGAGCTAAATTCTGTTACCATGTAAACAAAATTCAATCTAGAAATGTAGTACCTTAAAATATTCTGCTAAACTTCGTTTGCGGAAAAACATTTTTGCTTAAAACTGTATTTTAACGAACAATGACAAACTGTATCTCAGGCAAGTACTTAAAGTAGTTAACTGATAGAATGCCAGTGTTATATATTTTCACAGTTGAAAACGCTAGTCGGTCTAAGCTAGACCAACATTGAAAATCTGGGAGCACTGGACTGCCGTTTTGTCCCAACACGGGACCCAAGATCACACATGCAGAAACCGAACAAAGGACCTTGTCTCGCGCGCGAACGTTTAACCTCTACACCACTGAGCCGACACCCAACGGTACGAATGTCTAACTTCAATCAATCCTTGATCTTGCACAAGCTAGTCACTAGTGAGCACATGGTTGTTATCAGTAGAGAGATTTGTGATTTCCAGGTACTTTCAGCTCTTCAGTGGTGTTCTAGTTTTGATTGGCTCGTGATTTAAACTGTGAAAACGTCACAATTTCTACAAATCCCGATATCTATATATTTTCATTTATTTCACTCACATAAAATCTGGCACAATTGGGCACACTAAATTTGTGCGTGAACTAAAATAATCCTTGGTTGTCTAATCCGAAGCAGATGGATTTCTTAGGGACCAACTACCCGAACCTTTGACCTAAGCGTGTAATTCACGAGGCAGTAGAGAGATATAAGGAAATCCAGTCCCATGATAGCCAGTGACGAAAAATAGGTTCGTACCCTATTCGTTTACTTAGGATGCTGTAGCCCATGTATACCACTGACTCGAATCAGAGTTTTCAACTTATCCTAGGTGGATCCTCCATACCCACGAACCTAGGTAAGCGTTGAGCACTAACGTTTTGTCCTCTTTAGAAATAACACCCGGACCCTGTGAAGGCTATGAATAGGAATTCTGTGGAAGAGGCTATAAATGTATGTCCATATGAAAGCATTTAGAAAAACGGAACAAATTCTTCCGGCTCTCAGCTGTACCATGGTATTCGAAGCTCCATTTACGTAGATTTTATTATACAATTACAAGGAATCCTTATCTTATTGATATTTTAATACTAAGAATGAACAGATGTATAGAATTTCCGTTTGTTTTATTAGCAAAACACCCGTAAATTTCACTTTCAATGTTATATTCCTCCTAAGAAAACCGAAGATTAAGTAAAGAAATTCTTACAATATGTGTATTATGAAAATGTACACATACAATACCTAAATTTATTAACTTCCCTCAGTTAACCAACTCGACATACATTCGTATTTACATAGAACATAACATTCATAAATTACAACGTAAAACTGTTAAATATTGTTTGTGTAGTTTGACGATGAAAATGAATTAAGCAATAGAATAAAATAAATGCATTAATTGTGTTCTAACCGCGCGCGCGTGTGTGTGTGTGAGTGTGTGTGTGTGTGTAAGTGAATTATCTTAATTAATTGAATAATAATTAAATAAATAGAATGAAAGAATGAATGAAAGAAATTATAAGCAGTAATGAAGTGCATATTAGAAGCACACTTTTTTTACTTTCAATCATAATCTCATGATCATTGTGACCTAATCAATTATTTCTTCTTTTTTTTTTTATTTTTTACTATTTCATTGTATAAAAAGAAGGTGACTGTCTTCATTGTCAATAGATGATTATTAGGTGAATAAATAATCAAAGAAGAAGTGAATTCAACTGTACAAAATGTTAATAAATAAAAGCAAAGAAAGCTTAGTGATAATGGTGAAACGTTTACTAATAGGTATAGTTCTTTCTCAGTGAACAAAAAGAAAAATATACTCAGTGTTAACCATTTAATTGTAAACTGACCATATATATATATATATATATATGTGTGTATATTTAAGTAAACAGAATATTGCAGATAATTGAAATCTATGAAAGAGAATATAATTTAAAATGAAGAATGAGATAGTGTTTTTTTAGTGTTGAAAAATAGACACGATAAACTCGTTCAACATCAAAGATTTTACAAGATCTATATAATAAAATCTTTGGTATTAGCCACACTGCCCCCCAAATGCTCTGGTATGGCCGAGAGTGGGGTGGGCCCGACCTCCCTCTCGAAATGATCTCACATGATCACGCGTATATAGCCTCTGCCAGGAAAGTCCTACTCACTGCCTTCTCGCACCACAGATGTTGTTTACGAAAATGAGAGGAAGAAAAGCGAATGTCCGGCGCTTTAACCGGATTCCAAACCAATGGTGCACATGGGCTCCAGTATCCTAAAGGAACAAATGGCGTATAAACCAATTGTTGGTCACCGGCTACCATGGGACTGCATCTCCTCACGATGCTCTACTGCTTTGTGGGTCAGACCTTTACGTCGAAGGCTCGGAGTGTGGCCCCCTAAGAAAACCACCTGCTTCGGTCTGGGCACCCGGACAGTATCCCAGCCCTCACACAAATCGAATGATTTATGTGGCGCATACCTATTTGGTGCCTCCTTGTATCAATATCTATGTGTTAAAATAAATTAAAATAAATAATTAGCCACACTACACAATTGATGAGTCAAATGTAAACTTATTTCATCGACATAGATCTAATATGTTACTTTTAAAAAAACAGAAGTCTAGATCTTGAAATAATCATCCTATTTAGACTATATCTACTAGTGTCCTGTAGTTAGAAATATTGAATTGACATCAGGGATTGACAACTTATACTGAACAGTTAGCTAATTTTACTGTATGTTCTCCAAACGTCTAGATTTCAAGTTAAATACAATCGTTGTTAGCGTACACTATGACGTAATTTAAATTCACAGAAAAAAAAGGCGTTGAATGTACTTTAAATTGTTTTCCAGAGGAAGAAGAAGTTCGATTAATTTATCACATCTTTACAGTTTGATAAACTAAAAACCACTGATTGCTTAGTTTATAAATTTAACCTTAACAATCAACTCATTAAACGTTGGATAACCAATTTAACAAAGTACCTAATATCATTCTTTACAACCTGAAAATAATAAATGTCAAATTCTCTTGCAACAGAATAATTGACTGTAGTATCCAAATTAGATCTTTCCTACTGCACTAAGTAACCATTTTAATGATAATCATCACTCTTTCTTCTAATGCTTAATAATAGTTCTTACAAGACATTACTTTAATTTCTTGATACACAAGTTGAAATCTCACAATTCACTTAAGCCAAAAATAATAGATAAATATTAAACAAGTCATATTATAAATTTGTTACATAGACCAGTATATGTAACGAATGATGATTCTTACTGATTTAATGTCTTACATAAAATAGTGAAATAATAATATTCCCCTATTTTTGAAGTTTAGAACTGCAATTCTGAGCAGGTTTTCCCGAGACTGCCATATAGTCATAAGTGTTCTTATTAAAGTTGGATAGTTTCTAGAAATGAAATCTATGAAGTATGTTTCGTTCTATACGAGACTCATCAGCTAAATGCACTAAAAACCCAATATTGATGTTTACACTGAGATGCGTTCCAAATAAAAATCCCAACAAATAAAATTCATAGCGATTTAAAAGCTACTGGCTATCTGGTCTCGGTAGCTAGTTGGATAGTGTTTCCACCTCAAGTGAAAGGTGTTGATTTCGAGTCGCAGGATGAACGTTACCATCGGGATGAAAGCTCACCCAACCGATGAGTCCCAAAAAGGACGAAGCGTATGGTCTGGATTCCATTTCTAAGCACTATCCAACTTTCACATAGAATCACACAATAGTTTAAAGAAAAAAGATAGGCATGACAAGGTTAAAACACAAAAACTGTTGTGATAGCTCTAATACAATGAAGAGTATATTATATGTAATAACCAAATGAGAAGAATAAGTATTGCTAGGACTCATTGTAGCAGTAATAGTAAAAACCAGAATAGGGATTTGTGGAGATTGTAGTAATTTTAATTATTGAATTCATAAGTCGATCTAAGCTAGACCAACAGCGGAAATATGGAAGCACTGGACGGCTGTTTTATCCCGAAATGGGACTCCTCAACAGGGCGTATCCACGATCCCGCACACAGGAATCCAATTCAAGACTTTCAGTCTCACACGCGAATGCTTAACCTCTGGACCACTGAACCGGCATCCAACGGTATTAATTGTCTAACTTCAATCAATCCTTGATCTTGCATGATCCTTCACCCATTGTATGAAGTGGATAATTGTCTCCACCCAACGCAGACTGCATTCCACTGGTCGCGATGGTAATAATCAGTGTTGCTGATGTCATTGCCCATCACTACTGATGTACTACTCATATTATTTCTGTATGATTCTATATTTTATTAACTTTCTATCATTAGATGCACATACATCAATAAACACGCACCGGAGTGTACACACACACACACCGATGTGCATCTGCGCAAATGTGTAAGTAGACAATATGGTGTATATATTTTTATTGTATAAGCTGATTATTAATTACCTTGACCTCATATAATCAAAGAATTGTACTGTATCACAAGGTATATTGATATTTGTTGTACTAATAAAAAAATTGATTAATTTGAAGTAACTTTTTTTCTATGAGATTGAAATAAATCTGTGTTTAGATCCTAGATTCATACATAGATATGCATATATGTTACAAAGAAGACTAACTTTCTACTTCATTTATATGTAATTGTCATCTTTGAAGAAAATCTCAGTGAAATAATGGTGAACATTTGTAATATTTATTTATTAGCTTAGTGAATTCCTATTTCACTGGTCATAATTTCATGAATATCTAAGACGAAATTTACTCTGTTAACCGATCGACAAATGGGATAATTTGTGGTTAAATGCTCCGTTACACATGGTTTCCTTAGTATTTGCTCATGAACTGGATATGAAAGAAAGTTTGTCTTTATATAACAATCCACTATAATCGTGCTTTTTTCCAGTGAAAATTCCACAATATATTAGATATCTATCAATTACACTTAGTACTTAGTAAGGCTTTGTTATAAAATTTAGTAGTTAATCATTATAAAGCTCATTAATAGGTACGGTCTAAATAGTTAAGGAAGAGTTTAAATGTTTGTCCATCATAATCAGACGTGATTAGAAAGGATGAAAGTTATATACAGTCGACTAATCACTGAGTCGGTAATTGTGATCAAAGTGTAGTCTTGAGGGAACTAGTGTCCCCTTAGGTGGTTCGAACGTACGTTATCTAGCTTCATAGTCCAAGACGTTACCACCAGGCTATTTAGTGAGTGGTTCACTTCCTATAAGATCGAAATATTCATAGTTGATTGATTACTAAGTAGTGACGGATATAATACTAATTTGTTAATTGAACACTGACCAAATTACATACATCAGTTCCTTCAGGGTAGAGGATATACCATGTTGAGCAGTGCCAACCAACATAAAACTTAGTTATATGGTTGTCTGCCAATTACCTTCAACCCCTTGATATGCATTATATACCTCAACTTTTCAGAGTTTATGATGGTAAAGAAACGTAAGTAGAGAGACAAACTATCAATTCTTTGGTTATTACTACTGAGAAGTCGGACTATTATCAATCGTTGTCTTCAAGTTAACAAGTCAATCACCCTGTGTGAAAAAACTCAGAATTCAAATTATTTATCAGATGTTGAGAGAAAAGTACAGGGATGATCAACTTACGATTGAATTACTCACCTTCATAGAAAATTGAGTGTTTACCACCGAATAATAAATAACACTAGTAAGCAACCGAAAAAAATTACTACTTACTTTGAAGCTTCGAAACAACAAGTATAGTTCTCTTGGTTTGGCATCCAAAGGTAAACCACTAACGAATAATGTACGAACTTGATGCTAACAAGAAAAAAAAATCAGAAAATAAACAATTTTTGTTGAATAATTACTCAAGTATTCACTGTTAAGTACAATGTGAGCAATGAGCTCAATAGCTTACAGTTTAAAGACAGTATGACAACCATATAATTCACACGTGTGGATCACAATCACAAATACGTTTAACTGTGATTTTCAAATTACTTTGTTATCTGATATTTGATCACAAATCCACTTTTAAGACAACACCATATAGGTGATAACTTAAACAGCATTACATAATAAGAGTAATCTTATATAATCTATTCAATTAGCCTCTTTTAAAGCTAATTATTTAACTACAACAACTATAAAATTCAATGTAAATGTGAACGAAAAACTTGCCTAATCAAGCAACGATTTCACACATTACCAATTGTAACAATAAGTGCCTAAATCAGGTTACTTTATTCTCGAAAAATTATGAAGGAACCGATTTTTTTTATCTCTTCTCAATATTATGTCTATTTCAGTCTTACAATTAAGTTGGCTATTGATAAAGCTAGATAGATATTTTGTAAGAAAATACCTCCTATATTAAAAATTGATTCAAGCTTTTTAAGCAATTTCGACTGTGGCTAGGCAGCAGAATCCAAGATGTATGTATCGCCCTACTTCAAACTTGTCAGCTGAATATGGCTGACTTAATGGCACTATCGAAGCAATCCATCCAGGACGCATATACTCCAAAACAGATTCATCATTTCCAGTCCATAACACTAACAATGAAGTGATCAAAACTCTTACAAGTGAAATTGGTTCAAGCCGTTATTATTATTCTTATCGCCACTAGTGCACTTGCAATCTTTATAGTAATTTGTACACTTTACTGATTATAATTAGTTATTTCATCGATTTCATTATCACTGACTTATAAACTGCTTTGAATGGTTTAAATATTTTCAAATTTGTACATAAATATTACTGAACGTATTTGAACACAAAAGTATTGGTACAAGGAGGCACCGAATACATTTGCGCCACACAAGTCACTTGATTTGTATATGGACTGGGATACCGCCTGGGTGCCCAGACCGAAGCACGTGGTTTTCTCAGGGGGACACACTCCGAGCCTTGAACCTAAAGGTACAATCCACAAGGCAGTGGAGCAACCTAAGGAGATGCAATCACATGGTGGCCGGTGACCAATAATTGGTTTATACGTCATTTGCTCCCTCAGGATACTGGAGATCATGTGCAGTATTGGTTTGGAATGAGGGTTTTCCAACTGCCCTAGGTGGACCCTTCGTGTCTACCAATCCGGTTAGAGCGCGGAACATTCGCTTTCCGTCCTCTCAATTTCGTAAACAACAGCAATGCCGCGAGAAGGCAGTGAATAGAACTTCCTTGGCACTGGTTGTATGAACGTTGCTATGTGGGAGCATTTGGAGAGAGAGGACGGACTCTCCCCACCCTCAGCCGTACTAGGGCATTCGGGGACTTGCCCATGTCATGAGAAATATAAGCACTTAAATTATCATCATTCATATATTCACTTGTTTTTATTACTGTGATTCATAAATGTCATGTCATATAGTTCATGAATTTCAAGCTAGTGAATGTCTTAAAGAGTTCTACGCCCCCTAGTAAAGAATATTTTGGAAAGAATTTCTTTGATAAAAGAATGACTTAAACGTGGAAAAGTCTATTATCGAATTGCTGACGAATGAATTTTAATTGTAAACATAATTAAATAGACAGGTGAATATATAAGTAACTGTCAATCAGTTAGAAGCAATGTGCTAGGTCTCAAATTGTTATTTGTTTAAATATGTTTAGATATAAAATTTAATTAGTTCGCATGGTGAACAATGACTTGATCATTTGGAGTGCGAATAACACATGAAAATGATTTTTCTCAATCGTCTGTGATATGGAACCACATCTTGAAGTTGGTTCGAATTGAACTTTAAATCCCCATTATCGATTACAGATCACATAATCTGTTGACAACTGATTACTATGAGAAACAAGAATCTTCTAAGATATTGAAAATAAAATTTAAGCGTCCAATTTACTCAATGTGATCTACAGTTATTTCAGTCTTTGTAATGTTCGATTGTCAATTTTGTTAGTTATATGAGCAAACCGTTGTATAATATTTAAAACAGTAAACCATTATAACCTCTTACACATAAACTTCTGATTTTGTCTTTAAAATACTACAATATAACATTTAATTTTGCACGTAACAACACCATCTAAAATATGAATAATTATAAACGCATTTATTAGATAAGGATTCGTGTAAATGCCTTTTAGCCACACTCCAAATGTGAAGGCTGGCTTGTGATACAAACCCGGTTGTGTAAACCGAACAAGATCGAGCGGGATTCCAATTGCACAACTAAAGGACTGAAAATCGAACATCCTAACTACTGCTCCAATAGTGAAAAACGGCATTTTGACGAACCGTTTAAAAACGAGCAGTTTCATTAACCGTGATGCAGAGACAATTCATGGAGTAAATTCAATAGTATGATAATTTATTATTTATTTTATCGTCTCGAATATCCATGACAACCTATTGTGTAACCAATTTGCACTTATCTATCATCTTGCAATTGTAACTGTAATCGCACGAATATTTTGTAAACCACATTATACTTTTGAATAATCAACTAAACTGATGACCTAGGTAGCATGGCTGAATAACTAATTCACTAATCGTTTTTTTAAATCTACAACTCATTAATAGTATTAATAGTATGCCCCCAAATGCCCTGGTATGGCCGATAGAGGAGAGAGTCCGCTCTCTTTCTCGAAATGCTCTCACACGGCCACGCGTATATAGCCTCTGTCAGGGAAGTCCTACTCACTGCCTTCTCGCACCACGAGTGTTGTTTACGAAATTGAGAGGACGAAAAGTGAATGTCCGTCGCTTTAACCGGGTTGGTAGACATCGAGAGTCCACCTAGGGGAGTTGGAAAACCCTCATTCCAAACCGATGGTGCATATGGACTCCAGTATCCTGAGGGAACAAATGGCGTATGAACCAATCGTTGTTCACCGGCTACCATGGGACTGCATCTCCTTACGATGTTCCACTGCCTTGTGGATCAGACCTTCAGGTCGAAGGCTCGGGGAGTGGCCCCCTAAGAAAACCACCTGGTTCGGTTTGGGTACCCGGGCAGTATCACTGCCCTCACACATATCGAGTGAGATTTGTGTGGCGCATATCTATTTGGTGCCTCCTTGTACCAATATCTATGTGTTAAAATAAATAAATAAATAAACATTAATAATATATATTTCGTTCCATATCAATGATTGGACTAGCCAGTGAGTAGCAACCAAATAATTGATTAATCATAAATTAATATTTTAACGGATGCTTAGAGTGCAGTGGTGTTTTATTAGTTAAGGCATTGAAGTTTCAACAACTTGGTCGCGGGTACAAAACCCTTCCCTACGTATTTTAGTTTGAGAAGCTGAGTATTATCACAAGGCTGTACTGGGTAGTTGAGTTAGACCAAGTGATACACATTATTTTAAGATAAACTATGAGGCTCAATCTCAGGCGTCGAACCATTTGAACTAGTGTTTTTTATTCACAAAGCAATCGTTGTAAGTTCACTATGTAAATGAATTGGACTGAAAACTATAATTGATGTTTGATATTCTTTAATAAAAAATTACCATTTTACATGAACAACTATAGAATAATTGTAAAAGTGAGGACAAATTTAATATCAAAGAGCTCTGAGCGGTTTGTTTTATATTCAAATGAGATCTGAAAAGAAAAGCCAGGTTAAACATGGTATGCATTGTTGCTTTGTTCTAGTATAAACATTGTTGCATCATGCACATCTATCAATACCTATTGCATATCATTAATGAAATGCACAAAATAAACAAGGCCAACAGTATTTATTGCATAATCATGACGTTAATTTATGCATCACTCATGAACATGTGTAACAACATTTAGGTTGATGTTAATGAGTGAGAAAGTCTGAAACACTAGGCATATATAATAACAGATAGTAGTGTTGTGTGTTTGTATACACAAGGAACGCTTAAATTATTCATTTCATGGTATGACGGAAAATCCATTACTTTAGATAAATAAAATTCACTTACACTACAGTGTCGTACACCATCAAGCTTTTAATATTCAATATGTAACTATTTCGTTTTTTTTCGCTATCACTATAGCTACAGTCAAATTCTCCACACAAAAGATGGGAAACAAAAGTGAACAATGTTGGTTGATTGTCAAAGTAACCATAGATATGAAAGAATGGTTACCATAGTCACAAGTATGAAATAATACCATAAATAGTCCACATAATTGTGATACTAAGTTCTTTTTTCTTAATGGACAAACTAAATGAATTTCAGTTATTTTGAATTTTAATGCAATACTCTATCAAAATTTAATAAATGGTAAAAACCAAAGAGCATACATCCATAAAATGTTTAAATAGTTTGATTATTGATGTATTCTAAACCAGTACCCAAGAGTTTATTCATAAGTAAACACTAGAATGGAGGTAAAAAGATATGTAGCTCGGGTTGATTGATCCAGTAGACAAAGTAGAATAATTTGTTTCTATCCAAAAGTTTTACTGATGATGTCTGAAAGGGCAATGAAAGTTTAACGATTAGACCGCCAAGTCCAGGGAACATAACTCTATAAAAAAATATAATAGTTTCATGAGTAGCTATTTTGAAATGTACTTTATTGACAATCTAATATGGCGTTCGTTATCTACTACATGAGAATAGCGCTATTAAAAGATTTTATGACTCTGCGAATACATACTATGTAAATAACACTACAAAATCTGACTGGTCTCAAACTAGCCATTTTCTTTGAAGCTTTGTAGAAAAATGGAGTTAACATACCATATATTTTCAGAATGATTTAATGTTTGAATTGAGATTCTCAACCGATTAGTGGTAGAGCACTACTGAAAACTTTGAAGCACTAGATGGCCCTTTCATCCTGGCATGGGACTCCTCAGAGGTGCGCATTCACGATCCAGCTCACGAAACTCAAACTCAAGACCTTTAGGCTCGCGCATGGACGCTTAGCCTCTGAACCACTAGGACAGGATCCAGATGTCTTAATGTCCAGCTTCTACCAATCCACGATATTGCGTGTTCGTGGATGCGCACACCTGAGGAGTTCCATACTAAGACGAAATGGCCGTCCGAAGCTTCCCGGTTTTCAATTATGGTCTACCATTGATCGATTCTCGATCTCAATTAAAACTCAACAATCTCCTCAGCCTTATACCACTAATGATTTAATGTGTTTGAACACTTCAAAATCGTAAGATCTAACGTTCACTTTATCGTCCGTAAATTTTGCGATAAGTAATTAAAAATCAACATTATCAATATTAGACAAGTTAATATGACTTTCCTCACAGCATAATTTTAAATTATTCTGTACAATAGGCACCAACACGTACAGCAGAGGGTTTAGTATCATGATGAATAAACAATTCTAGGTTGGAACAAATTTTTACCGATTAAAGTATAAACTCTGATGCAATAGTATATTTTAACTTCATAGAACATTTGGAATAAGAGAGAACAAACAAAGAGTTGATATGACTATTTACCACTTATTGAGTCATGTGCTAGGTACACATTCACGTACTTAGCTTCGAGTCAGACTAAGTTGGAGCTGGTAATACTATAAAATAAGGTAGGGCGAGGATTAAACCTACAGATTAGTAGCCGAAAGTCGAACGCCTTAGCGCGAAGCCACCACTTCACAAAGATGTGACTGGAAACTAATATTAAAGAATAAAGTTCGAGACAAAATTATATAGCCTGGGTTGGATTGGCGTTGTGGCAAACTTACGTTTACGATGGTGGTCGGCAAATACATAAAAATGATTTTATTTAAAGTCAGGAAATATATGAAGCAATTGCTTTCTAAAAAAAGACTGATGAAAAAAGGTGATGATTCTGGAGCAATTATACTATAAACTCGAACCAATCAGAATCTATATGACGACTTCCTTTTAAGCGAAATTCGGAAATGGATGACTCCCATCTTAAACCACATGTAAAGCCTTGTAGAAGTGCAGCTGTACACTGCTAAGAACGATTATGACTCGTGAGGCAAATCCGTTCTGGCTCTCATAGAATAAAAATGACTACTTCTTACTACCCAGATTGTAAATAACATTTAAGTCAAGGATTTTTTGTTTCGATTTACTTTGTTTTCACGAAACACTTTATCAGTTGTTCACCGAAGAATAGACGAGTTCATAAAGTAGGGATGCCAGAAATAGATATCGATTTTCAAGCATGACTTCCCTATATAATTGTCTTATCTCATTAGTTATTCAGCAAATTTGTAGGCGGTAAAACAATTTATAGCTGTGAGAACGACCCAGGAATAAATCTTCAGGGTTAATGCATTCACACTCAAATATGTAAGACTATTTAGAGATACTGCTCAACGAATAAGATTGAATATTCGATAGTAAGGATTGGAAAACTGGTAGAAATTCTAAAAGAACCATAATCTTACATGTTTTATTAATTCCGTAACAAAATACTTTTGTTTTATGCCGCTTCTCTCCCTATTGACTAAAACGTTCGACACTAGTATAGTTATATCGTGCGAAATACTGTATGTGAACGTTTTCTGACATTAGGCAAACTTCACTACTCTTGAATCCCTTTCCATCAATCAGGTAAAGCTCAATCAACCACAGTTTGAAATCATTATGTTGTTGGCTGCCACTGGTCAAGGTTAACACCTCTGTTCCAGTCGTTATTCACTTACAGGAACGTGGGATAGTTCAGAAAAATGGAATTGGTTTAAGACTATCGACACTGACTAAGTATTTACTTAACTGTTTTACTCAAAACACCCATCTTTCTTGACTGAGAAATTACTTAGTTCGACATCTCAATTGTTTATTTATATGTGTGACTTAATATTCTAGTCGGAAAACATTTAAAATTGCTACTTAATCTTAGCTTTCATTAGAAAATATCTTGGAATTATTGTTAGTTCAGTTTAAAGATAAAGAGACAAAAAATTATAAATTATGATTAAATGTTTACCTCTGTTCCTTCTCCGTTATTAGTACCAACTGTATGAATAGAATCAATTGATTGTGATAAAATCATCATTGAATCTTCATTAAGATTAGCATTTAAACAAGTATTATCCAAAATAACAGAAGGATCATCATCTGGAAGGGAATTTTCCGAATGATATGAATTAGAATGATGTGAATTAGGTGGAACAGGGCATTGTGGAGTTTTAGGAGGAAGCATAGTAGTTGTATTTGTCATGATTTGATTTGATTCATCCAAATACATGACAAAAATCCATTCCAATATTAAAATCCAAAACACTATTCAACTTGGATGTTTAGGAAAATGAAAATATTCAATTAATAAAAGTTTTAATAAAAATGTGGAAAGTAAACGCCCACTGGGCTACTTTGTAATTGTAATAACCATAGACACTTATGCATAGTTCTTAAATGGTCATAGAGTACAAATTTCAACTTTTTGTATTATTGGTGCAACGCCTTGTTTTTTTTTTTTGCATAAGGGTGATATTAATTTAAGACAGGTGTGTATTTTGTATGTCTAGCTTCATTCCCTATGAGTAGTAGTTAAATAATAATTGAATTTAATTAACCAATCAAAATAGTCCATCAGTTAATGTACATAAAACCAGAAATACTATAAGAGTAAGTGAATTGTATGTCCTATTTATTACATAATATAGGAAATACTCAGAATGGTTCGTTTGTTTGTTTGCTTGTTTACAAAGAGGATGTAACACAACAGAACTTTATTGTTGTTGTTGTGTTTTTAATTTGGAAAAAGTGTTCAATAAAATATGCTAATATTTCATTCACACTCCAATTCAAGCATTGTATCCATTTCGTCATTTATGAAGGCTAACAAATTACTGAGGAGCCCCACAATAGGACGAAACGGCCGTCCAGTGTTTTCAGGTTTTCTATGGTGGTCTAGCTTCAGTTGAAATTACTACAATATCCACAAAAACCCTTCTGATATGAAGTGTATTTATCTTAAATTTGTCTATCCTTAATTTAGCATTATTTTCTAGAACAGATGGAATCCAGGACACACGTTTCTTCCTTTAAAGGCCCATCAGCTGGATGAACCTATATCATTTTTTAATGTTCACATCAGGACTCGATCGCAGTGACTTTTACTTGAAACTATAGTACGTTATCCACTGAGCTAGTGAGTTCAAATAGCCGTTACCTCGTTCAATAGGTATGATGTTTATACCATTATTAGTATATGATTGAATTGTACTGTTAATAATAATCAAGACTGAGTCTTCATCAGTCTGCTAGCCTATGTACATTATATACAAACTACCTCAATATAACGATTTTGTCACGAAATTCTTATAGGATATATGCATTCAATTCGTAATCAGTAACTGTAGAACCTAGGGAAAGCTTTTTGAAAACAGCATTCTTCATTCACCATCTCACGTTTCTTCATTTCAGTCGTGAATAAGCGTTGCCAATCCAAATGTACAACACTATCAGGTAAACTAAATATTCAAGAATACACTGCAAAGTAGACAGATAGAAAACCCTGTACACAAAAATAAATAAACCATTCATGCATCCACAAATAATGACAGAATGAACGCCAATTTATAGTCTTCAGTAGGGTTGTGATTAATGGACTATTTTGACTGAATATTTGTAACAAAAATTTTCAATAATGTGAAAAATATGATGTAGGTCCAATCATAGCTAACCTCATTTTGGAGTACAGAGTTGTCATCGGAGTATACACCAAAATAATTCTCAGTCCTATCAACTCAGAGTAATATATAGTACGCGTACGAGGAATATAAGTTCCCAAAGAAAGTGGCGTAGTTACGAAATCATCAGTGTTTTAGAATGATAGTTATCTCGAACGTCGCAGACGTTAGGACTCAATATTCCCTTATTATGATGAATGGGAGCTCATATTTGCAAACAAATGGTGCAGCAAGGAGTGACTTTAGTGTTGTTACGAGGTATTCATAATCATACACAACTGGAGAGAACAAAACAACAACAGGGAAAAAGGGATAATACACAAAATTACCGTGATATGGTTTTCATTGTATAATCATTTGACTATGAAAAATTGCGATTCCTCACGATTTTGTATATAATCACTCTATAAAGGCGAAGCCATTTTTCTGTATATCGTTCCAATTTTAGTAGCTGTTTTGTCAAAAACAAGTAAATCCACATGTGTATTTAGCTGTAAGTCTTAACACAGTAAAAAATGGTCCACCAGAGCGCTGGGTACCTATGTGGTTGTGCCACAGGATTGAACTGTACTGTTCGGATTGTAGCATTAAAGCCTAGATGGTGTCTGGCTTTCCTGAAAACCAATGTAAAATTACTCTTGTTCAAAACGGTATATTGTATAACTGTAATTGATTATGTATGCAAGACATAATACTAACTGATTTCACAAACTAGTGTACATTACTTTTTAAGTAACTATCTATACTGTTGATTTCAAGTTTCGAGAGAATCAAATCAGTATAGAAATTAGGAAGAAATACATATGTATGATTGCCGCTATCCTGCATTATAAATTATGTTATTCTATAAGTGATAACCATTCGATTTCAAATCCGGTGTCCACAGCTAACTTTCTTAGCATAAAAACACACATTTTTTATAGCCATTTAAGTGGAAAAATTTAAAACTACATGCAGCCTTGTTAAGTTGAAAACGGAAATGTAAAGTTAATTCGTTGTGATCTAACCTCCACGAGTTTTTTTGGAAATATGTTACATAATGTTCATTTGTACTGGTCGTTTGACTCTTCAAATTGACGTTTAGTATTCCAATTGATTAGTCTTTTTTGACATATTTACATTCTATGTGGATTGCCTCCATTTTGCTGGGACGTTACTAGCATCTTAAGCAGAGATGGATGGTGTTTAACAATGGAATCCAGGAAGCTTGTTACGTCCTATTTGGGACACGCCATCTGGGTATATCTGGATCTTAGAGTTGATGTTCACTCCGGGACTCCATCTATGATACATATTATTTTTAATAATTAGTTAATTTTTTAAGAGCACCTATTTTTCAGTATACACGAATAATCCCAATTGTTTTAAAAATTCTTTGTAATCAGAATGGGGGTTTGTGGAGATTGTAGTAACTTAGTAGTTGAATTCATGAGCCAATTAAAGCTAGACATTAACACTTTTGGATGCCAACTCAGTGGTCTAGAGGTCAGGCGTTCGTGCGCAGGACCACTCCTAAGGAGTCCCACGCTAAGATGGAACGGCCGTCCAGTGCTCCCAGGTTTTCCATGATGGTCTAGCTTTAATCGACTAGTGAAATCAACTATTAAATTCTCTATATACAACAACATAGTTAGATCACACTGTTGGTAATTTTATCGTTTACATAGAATTTTATGGTTGTTGGTTAAGGGAGAATTATTTATTCCTCTAGTATTAATATTAACCACACATTTTTTATAGACATTTATCTGAATCATGATAGTAATAATAGTAATATTAACTGAATAAGGAATGAAACACTCAATTATTTGGATAACTGATTAATCACTTTAAGTCACTAAGTGTGATGCCACAACAACGTACTGTCGATGTAATAGAATGAACGCTTTGAAAATCCCTCCAAACTTTGGTTAAGATTTGTCTCTAATATTCCATTTAGTTGTTGCATGATCTCGAACCGTTGACAATAAGGTGAAATACAATAACATTTCTTTGTAAGTCACTAAAACGCAAAAAATTGCCGTTATGAGTTTTACTTTCATTCAACTCATCTACTTAGTATAACTCCAAATGAAGGTAAAGTTTAATTGGGAACAAGGAGGTCCGTGGGGTAGTTAGATGTATGAGAGAGGTTGTCACTTCCCAGTTGTCCATATCGCGGAAGGAAATTTCTTTATGAGGTAACTAAGAAGGAAACTGGATTTGTAGCTGTCTTAGTGACTTAAGTGAGTGACTGCAGTGGTTAAAAGACAACTGCTTGAAACAGGTCACCTTTTGAGAGTAGTTCTGGATTTGTTAATCTTGTGATTTTGTCTCTCGCCGCTGAAGAAGGGAATACATGGGGTTAGATGACGTGTTATATTTGTAGGACCAACCTTTTCCAATTCCCTTCTTTCTATATGGGGAGGCTTCATCTTGGAAGTAGAAAAATGATAATTATATATTTCTGTCGTGATCTTTTTTATCAGTTTTAATTAATGTATTCAATAAATATTATTGTTAAATATTCTTTAATTGACAAACCACAGGTGCACCTGGTCAGTCATGTTAATGTCTCCGACTGTGAAGCTGGGTAGCACGGGACCGAATCCATCAGGGAGTATCAGCTCCATCAAGATTACAGGTACGCCCTGATGATGGGTGCCAAATAGCACAAAGCCTAGGCCAAGTAGGGTTTCCTGTCGACTACCTCCAACCAACACCTTACAGTGCACGCTATATTGAGCCGGCTAGATTAGTGGACGCATTGCAACTTGATCGACAGAATTCGATTTGAGCTAAGAAGGACCTGTCACGCATGACCTTGATCGCTATAACGTGATCGATCAATTGTAACTGACTATAATAATAATTATTATTATCATTTCAATGAATCTAAATCCGTTTTATAACACTAGACGACTTAAAATGTTAGTTATCTTAATGATACGAATTGTGACTTCCATTAAAAACTGTATTACTCAAATTAAACTGATATTATTAGGTAAACCATAGATAAATAAATGATAGTTCCTATGTGTAAGGATAACTATGGTGACATTTTATTAAGAAGGAATGAAATACATAATTTAATAATCGGTTAATGTAAGCAGTTAATATATCGATTTTACAAACTATAAATACATTAAATGATTGATTAATCAATATTAACTACTCCCAGTTCAGTACATTCGAATTGATTTATTGAGCAAACATTTGAATGATATATAGTGTTACACTGTTCAATGTCATGGTGTTCAGTACTGTGAATCAGTAGTTGGTACGTGAATAGATTTTCATTCACAATTTTGCAAGCTTTTTTGTTTCAAACAACACCAGTCTTGTTCTGTTGAACAGGTAATTAATCTGTTTTTCCTCAGTCATAAAATATAGCCATACCATTATCAATAGCAGCATTTTATTAAATCATAATTCATTTTTTCAATTCATGTTGCCTTGGCAACTTTTGTTGTTATTTGATTGGTCGTTCGTATTTTTAATTTAGTAACTTAACTGTAATCAGAGATTATTTTTGTTGCTCAATATTGAAATTGTTCTTTTTCAAATTTTACTTCTTGAATAATAAGAGTTTTTCACTAACTACTTGGCCACTCTCTGATTTTCAATGGGTCGGGGATTATTTTTGACGTATTATGTATCGGTCGTTTGATCTGTCTGAATCGAATAGATTCACTTATTTATTAAAAGAACATTTCAAGTGTCCATGATACAGATTAACACGGGCAACTTCAAAAAGTAACAATTATGAAACTAATACTCTCATAATAGAAATTTCTTAAGGTTGTCTGAACATGTAAGCCAATTATCCGCGAGCGGGATCGTGGGTGAGCACTGCTGAGGAGTCTCATACTAGGACGAAACGGCTGTTCAGTGCATCCAGGTTTTCCATGATGGTCTAGCTTTAATTTACTCATGAATTCA